TTTTAGTTTTTCATAAATATAAAATGACTACTATGAAATTAACTAACATTGGATAACTTCTGGCAGCTTATCTCTTAGTGCAATCCATGTAGTACTTTTATCCTTACCACCCAGAACTTCCTTTATAAAATCAGGGATGTTCCCTTTGTCACAACTTGCTTCAGGAGAACGATAAAGTTGCTAAGTTTTCTGACTGGCATTCTGCCCCCAAACATCTATCCAAATACAAGGTTGAAGCACCCCAGATTCCTGGTATCAGAACCTGCAGTACCTACAAGGCTATTTCACAAGAAATGTAGCCTTTCCCTGAGGGAGCTCCCTGCTTCTATGCAAAAACCAAGCATGAAAGAATATAGGGGCAATGCGTCACAATTGTGCTATATTTACAAGAGATAGATTTGTGTCTGGGGGAGGAGCTGGGGGTAGGGATCAAGACTTCTCAATGAGCTTGGCCAGAAATGAGAAAAGTATGGTTTCTGTAGATAAAATAGACATTCAATCACCAAAACTGCATTTTACTAGAAAAGAAAATGGGAAGTATTTTCTAAATAACATTCACCGAAATGCAAGTTAGAAACCCAGCCCACAGCTCTGGTATCAATCCTGTTTCCTCTTCTCATGTCTCCCATGGCATATTGAACCACAAGCCACATTCCTTTCTCATTTCTGAATTTGCCAACAGCTGTAAGTGGCATAGCATGGCACACAGCTTCCTGTAATAATGGTCAGTGCCACATGAAGACTGGATGGGTAACTTTGTGTTACCATCCTTTTAAAAAGTCCTATGTATATAGGTTATTCAGCATTGTTTTTTGTTTGTTTTGCTAACAGAAGATTTGTTCTTGATTTCTTGTTTTTCTGACACTTTTCCCCACATACTTACCTACTTTGCCTTTTGCTCTTCTTTCCAGAGAGACTAGAATCTATTTGTGAGAATCTTTAATTCATTTCTAGAACACATCCCCACCCCAAAATCATTTTCTTTCTTTTTATGTATCATAATGGTCTTTTCTCTGTGTTACCAAAGTTTTGTCTGTTTTCCCCAATTCCCATTTAAAATATAGGAGGAGGAAGTATACAAATAAAACAAAGTGAAAATTGAACAAGGTAAAGCAAAGCAGTAAAAGATAGACTATATTCCGCAATGTTCTCAACTCATTCAGAAGTTGGAAAATGAACCAAAGATCTACCATCAAAAGACTAAAATGCCATTTTCTGATAATGTCTAATACAATCTTGCAAGCCAATTTGGTAAGCAGCCACTAGACTTTTTTTTTAAAGTCTTGCAAATTAATAACAATACTACAAATTATACTATTTTCATCTTTCAATTGCTCTTTCCTTGAATAGACAGTTCACGTTTTTGAATTAAGTTTATACTCTGTATCTTTTCCCTGTTCTTTCATGTTTGTAACTATTTTACCTTTTCTAAATCTTTCCCATCCATCATGACTCAGATTAAATATCAGCTCTTTCTAGATGTCTCCCCTGACACCCAACTTGGTCTGGAACTCTGGCAATCCTTACTCCATTATATTAATGTGATTTTTTTTTTTTTTTTTTTTTTTTTTGGTGGGGAGGGTATCTGTTATGCCACCATTGTCTCAGTCATGTTTCTGTTTTCCAGACCTGGCATTGGCAATACACTATGTATAGAATACATATTTGTTGGATGCCACATGAAATGTCTTAGTGGGTGGGTAAGAGGTAGACAGATGAGGGGCCCTGTGTAGCTCAGTTGGTTAAGAGTCTGACTTCGGCTCAGGTCATGATCTCACAGTTTGTGGTTTTGAGCCCTGCATCGGGCTCTGTGCTGACAGCTAGCTCAGAGCCTGGAGCCTGTTTCGGACTCTGTGTCTCCCTCTCTCTCTGACCTTCCCCTGCTCACGTTCTCTCTCTCTCTCTCTCTCTCTCTCTCTCTCTCAGAAATAAATAAAACAATAAAAAAATTAAACATTTTAATAGAAATTAAAAAAAAGAGTTGGCCAGATGAGAAGTGCCAGTCTTTCTCTTGTTTCTGTGGTATCACATATGTTATCTTCTGCCTGAAACAGCATCTCCCCAACCCCACTCCCATGACCGACCAGGCTTTTGTCATTCTTTAAGCTTCAGTTTCAATGTCACTTTCTCTGGGAACCCACCCTGAGCTACTGGGGTTAGGAGCTCCTCCTTTGGTCTCCCTGATCCATCTTATCTTTGGTATAGTAAAACTCCACTTCAACGGACTCTACTTGTCTAAATTCCTCAATTAACTATGTTTTGTCAGAGCAGTGAAAAAGTCAGCATTATCTCTGCTATATCCCTGAAACATTGCCTGGAACTAGGATGGGAGATTAAAAAGAAATCCACAGGGGCACCTGTATGGCTCAGTTGGTTAAGCGTCCGGCTTCAGCTCAGGACATGATCTCATGGTTCATGGGTTCAAGCCCCAAGTTGGGCTCTGTGTTGACAGCTCAGAGTCTGGAGCCTGCTTCTGATTCTGTGTCTCCCTCTCTTTCTGACCCTCCCCTGCTCATGTGGTCTCTCTCTCTCTCAGAAATAAATAAAAACGTTAAAAAACTTTAAAAAGAAATCCACAGATTATTTAAACAAAAATGGATAAATATAATCTCACTTTCATATTCAATTTTGTTGAGATAAAAATTACACTTACATTCCATTCTCATATCCAGTTTTCTGAATTATAGAAAAAGAAGGGTGGACAAAGAAAGGAGATCTTATTTAGCAGTGAATTTATTTTAGTCATAATCATTTGGAACAACCACTATTTGATTGAAATCCTCTAATTATTTCACCAAAAAAATAAGAACAAAAAGTTACGTTTGGAAGACTGGGTTTTAGCTCAGTCTAAAGTAGCTAATTATTAGACTTTCCTAAATTGAAACCAAGGCTCTACATTAAAAACTTCTCATTTATAACTATACTTTTTAATAGCTGAATTTTTTTCAGTCATCTTCTTTAAGTTTTCTGGACCCTTGGAAATTCTTGATGGTACATATCCTGAAAATTCTTTTGCTAAGAACTTGCCTTGGCTTGGTTCTCCATTTAACTCTGTAATAAATCCCACTCTGTCCTCTACTTGCTCTTTTCATCCTGACACCTTTACTTTAGCATTTTGCTTCATGTCTTCACCACACTGCCTTAGTGATTCTGTCTCTTTCCATGATAATTTCTAACATTCTATCTATAATCATAGCAATTTCTTTAAACTCACATCTTTAATTAGATATTTCACTGGTACCTCACATAAAACATATACAAAGTTGAAGTCATCAATTTCTTCCTGATTTTTCATCTCTTAGGCTAAATGGTGGCATCATTTACTTTGTCATCCAAGCTCAACTCTCATCTATGTCATCTATGGCACTTTCTTCTGACTGATCCTTCATTAAAGTGGTTACCAATTCATACTACACTACTGTTCTCTGCATCTTATTTCCCTATTTGCCATCTGATTTAAGAATCTTGTCATTTACTTAGAATCAACCAACTATGCAATGGCAGCCAACACTTTTCTCTATAGTGCTCCAGTCCTTCCAACATATGCCTTCAGGAGCCACCTTCCCTAAGAACTGTCCCAATAATGTCACCAGATTGCTGCTAAATGTGAAGATCCCAATGGTCCATACACTATGTATAAACGCTTCTGCTTGACCTTCAAATCATTCATAGCCAGTTTCATCTAAACATGATCATGTGAGATAGAAGCAATGGGAAAGCAAGTAGGCAGAGCAATACTCTACCTTGCAGCAGATACTCAACACACATTTCCTAAAATGAAAAAAGGGAACTTGGGTATTTAAAAAACGGTACACACCATTCTCCTGCATAAAAAAGCTTTAATGAATTCCCATTGTCTATAGGATATAGTCCCAATTTCTGAGTGTAACTTGGCTCTTGTATTCCTCTTTTACTTCTCTTCTCCAGGCCTTACAAAATAACTTGCTTCCTTCACTAATGAGCCTTTGCGTATAAGCTCTCTACGATTTTTTTGTATGTGTCCTACCTGTCCTTAAAGATTAAATTAGAAACTTCTTTGACCCATTTCATTTTAGGTTGGCTGCTCTTAAGATAGAGTATAATTCTATCATTAGCATGTATTGCTTCTTTCTGTTACTCTGTTACCCGCCCCCCCATGCTAGTTTTTTTAAAAAAATCATTTTTAATGTTTATGTATTTTTGAGAGAGAGACAGAGCATGAGCAGGATAGGTACAGAGAGACAGGGAGGCACAGAATCTGAAGCAGTCTCCAGGGTCTGAGCTGTCAGCATGGACTTGACACAGGGCTCAAACCTACGAACTGTGAGATCATGACCTGAGCCCAATTTGGTCACTCAACCAAATGAGCCACCCAGGTGTGCCTATGCTAATTCTTTGAAGACAGAGATCACATCTTCTTTTGTACTCCAGGGTCAGCCTCAATACTCATACTTAATAGACAGCAGTGACAATATATTTTTTTCCTGCTATTGGCTACAACCAGCTGGCTATACTGGTTATAAAATGTACTGGCTACAATCAACTAGCTATATACAACCAAGTAACCACTTAATTGACTAGATTTATTTATTTTTTTCAATTCAGCTCCATCCAAAACAGAAAACTTGCATTTTTTAACTTTCATTTTTTGTTCCAATGTCACCCTGAACTTTAACTTTTTAAATGTTTCCTTTCAGCACACATATAAAACAACAGTGTCATATGCTATCTCATTTCACAAAGTTCCTTTCAGCTTCATGCTAAGACTTCCTCACTATTATAATAACATTTGCCAAACACCAGAGTTATTCAACTATTCACCTTATTCTGTATTCTATAACACAAACTCCTTTTTATATGTCCATCTCTCCTAAGTTACATTTAAAAAAATTCAATGTTAAATTAATGAGAATCTGTGTTACAATGAACATGAGAACATGGTGCAACAAAACTTGGTTGAGTTTTCTTTTCTCACTTCCTTACATTTCTATCCTTCAGCCCCAGCCCCTCAGTCAACTTACTTTATATTCTCATTGGCGGGTACTTCAGGCAGTTGCACAGTGATCATGCCATCCAGATTGGTCTTCCCAATGAAGGCAGGCTTCGTACGAAGTACATCTGGTGCAGTCTTTGCTGTTACCCTGTGTTGCAGCCCACCAGCACTGTTTCCACGATTCGTCAGCACAAATGAATATGATTTCTCAGGCTTTAGATTGACAATTAACTTCTGTGTAGCTCGGCCATCCACCTCTTCCACCATTTTCCCATCATCATAAAGAATCTAGAGACATACAACCAGTCAGGGAGATCTGCTTTTCAGAGAGGCAACACAGATTTTTTCAACTCATGTGCACTTGTTTATAGAACATGTATATCAGGTCACTTCTAATTTTGGACAATTCCTAAGCCTGGAAGTGTTCATACATTCTAGAGGTTGTATCAGGTTTTCTTTTGGTCCTCAGTGCATAATTATACAATAGTTTCAAGTTGATCAAAAATACACAAAGAAATGTACAATATTTTCGATATTTAACCTCTTGGTTGCATATAATCTTAATGGAAAATAGGCAGAAATACTGTAGATTTTGAATGTATTATCCACATCACTTTTTTTCTAAACATTTCTATTCCTGTTCCTAAGTATATTATTGCTTTCAAAAGTGTTTCTCTATTCTATATTCTTTATATTTCATAGACTTGCTTTCTTGTTAATATCTCTCAACAGCTCTCAACTGTAAATTAGAGTTTAAAACTTACAAAGAATTCAGACCAATGAACAAATTTTTAAAATATTAAGATGCTGTATTGTAAAGACGTAGAAACCATGTAAATTTCACTTTCTGGTGGAAGAACAAGAGAACAGCTTAGATGTGAATCGTCCATCCTGGAACTACACGGTGACTGACAAGTAATGCCACCCGTAGGTGCCTCCTGCCTCATCCTTTGAGTGGAAGCCAAAAATGAAAAAAATCAAGTGTCTGTGGCTGAATCTAAGTGGTGTGTATGTTTTCCAAGTAACTTACCCAGGTGAACTGCACCCCCTGTTTACAACAATTATATCTTACAAATGAGGAAAAAAAACTTACTTTGAAAGGCATGGCAGAATTATAATTTTCTGGAATTTCCCAAGACAACAGCACTGAAGTCTTCATTACTGCTTTGACATGAAAATTTTTTGCAAACACTGCTGGAAAAGGAAAAACAGTGTATTTAAACTACTCCTAAAAACATATGACCTGTCCTTTTCCACCATGGACCATCAGGTTTAAGTTAGATGCTATCTGCTTTGATAGGAGAGAGAAGTGTGATTTGCCTACCTGTTCACACTATTCATTTATTACCCCATTCTCATAAAGATCTCTTTTCTCTTCAACTTAGTCAACTATGTTGTATTTTCCTTACCTGAGAACATTGGGGTGCTGCAGCCAGACTTGCTTGGTATTCTATAACTGAAATCTAAGGCATCCAAAACATAATAAGTTTTACATACTTTACCTGTTTTGCTTTTGCTGAACCTATTAACATGAATGGTCCGATCAGTTATTTATAGCTTCAAAATACTGATTTCCAAAGACTGACATTCCTTTAAAGGAGGAAGGCCATAAGCAGACAAATCCTACCTTGATCCACAGGAAGTGTCCTGAACTGGACACTGGGACTATATGGCCCGGGCCCTTTGCTCGTGTGAGCACGTACTTTTACATCATATGTGGTATCTGGTTTTAAGCCACTGAGTGTCATAGTGGTATCAGCTGGAACAATAAGCTGCTCCATTGGAAGAAGAGGGATATTGATGTCCCTATATAGAAGAGTATACTTGGTGATAATGCCATTTCTCTCTGCCAGGACAGGTGGCTGCCAGGATAACTGGACGGACGTTGAAGTGGTGCCTTCTGAATGAAGGTTTTGAGGGAATCCAGTTGGGACTTCTTCTGGAACAGAAATCTCCTTCACTATCTCTTCCCCAAAGCCCACTTTGTTTCTGGCTGAGAGCCTGAAGATATAGGATGCTCCTTTATGGATGTCTGTAGCAGTAAAGTGGTCTTCCTTCTCAGAGAACTCAAGAGTAGTGAGTGGCTCCATATCTTTCCGGCCAAATTTTAGACGATAGCCCTGAAGAGGTCCAAATGTGTCCACTGGGGGGTGCCATTGAATGAGAGCAGTATTCATTTGAGTGTGGTTAATCACAAGCCGGGGTTTCCCTGGAACTGCAACACATGGGATGGAATGCTGAGGCCAACCAACATAGACATTCACACTTCAATTACGGCTGAACGGGAGCACCACTCTATGGGAATCCCCATTTTATATATATATATATATATATATATATAAAAGCCTTGGTCTATATACCTTTGTAGAAATATGCTTCTTTTCATGCTTAATTATTAAGGTAGGCTGAAATACCAGAATTTGGTAACAGACACCAATAGACCAATAGGTTTATTGAAACAGTAATTTAAGGGAGTTTAAAATAGTATCTTCTCATATCAAACCTTCACACATATGAAGGTTCATGCCACAGAAATGAAGGTGAGTAAAGATTAGCTAATTAAATATAGCTAGTAAGAATCATAATTATAACATATTTAATTACTCGGTACATGTAATTTACCAGGCACGGTGCTAAGATGTAGTTTCTCACTTGATTTACATTTTTCACTCCTGACTACACACTCTGATTAGTTATTATCTTAATTTTCTATGATAAGAAAATGACACCCAGAGAGATAGAAAACTGCATAGTCTGATGTGTGATAATTGAGAAAGCTCTAAGAAAAACCCAGGTCCATCTGAATTTATAGCCCGAACACTTAATGATACTCTTATATTGCTTGTAAGTTTTTTTTAATAGGTTCATAACAATGTTGCTTTGAGTTAATATGGATTTAATTTGTACTTCTTGTCTATCCTGTGGATATATAGTAATACCTGTGGATAAACCATGACTAGGGAATGTTTTTTGACTAGTAGGTTGGCAGAAAATAAAATTCAGTTTTTCTTTTCTCTTACAGAGAATATAAATCTGGATTCATACAGATCCACAGTAGGCTTGGTTGGGCAGTATAAAGACAATAAATGTGCAGATACCTAAAATAAGCATTGCCTATTTCAATACCCATGCCTCCATGGATTAAGAAAGGCCCAAAATTGTAAATGGAAACACCAAAATAATCGTCTCTATGAATAAGATCCACGACTGTAAATAACTTTTTGTGTAGCCACTAAAAGTGATGAGCCAGTCTTAGTTATTAAAATAGACAATGTTATTTCTTTCACTGGGATTCATATCCCTTGGCTATACGTTCTCTATTTTCTTCTCCTAATAAGGAAAAGATATATATAATAGTACCCCTATCTTATGGCCAGCAAGAGTTTGATACTTAATGTAAGACATCTCAGACTAATTAAGACACAATTATAAATATAGGTGAAAGAAGTGTATTTTCTTCATTTGGGATTCAATTTCAGGTGTTTACCGTTGGCTGTTTACCTTTCAATAGAGGCTGGTTCCATAGCCATTTGGCATGCCCCCACTGAATATGTATCTCCTAAGCAGGACATTAAATTAGCTTGATACAATGCTATTTAAAAGAGAGAGAGAGAGAGAGAGAGAGAGAGAGAGAGAGAGAAAGAGACAGAGAGACAGAGACAGAGAGACAGAGAGAGAGAGAGACAGAGAGAGAGACAGAGACAGAAACAGAGACAGAGAGAAAGGAAGAAAAAAGCGTAGAAGACATTGCCTTAAAGGAGGTTTGCCATCTGTAATCCTGCTGCTTGAGGCAGTTCCAGGTGGCAGGATGTAACTGAGGCAAATCTTATGACATTTAGACAAATTCGGCAGTGAGCATGGCACCCAGGAGGGTACTCAACATCACAGCTGTTCTTTGCTTTATGCCTTTACATAGAGGTGTGTTCTTAAAAAGTTGTGTGAGAAGCGATTTAGGAGGAGTAAATCAAATCATAGTTTAAGTGTTCCATGGGAGACTGCTATATGAAGGGATTGGAGGAGAATCCTTTTGTAATTATGTCTTAATTTATTGGTTTTACGATGTCAGGTCTTTCTTCATGCTGGCTTTCCTAATGGGAGCTGATCAAACTAACTATAAAGAGCATTAAGAAACTTTGTTCTTCAGAGAGGAGCAATTTGATATTTTGTAGCCTTTTTGCTTTTCTTTTTTCTGTTCCCCATCTTTTATGTGATTTGCCCCCTTCTCCTTAGAATCCTCCAGCAAGGACTGAGGAGGTGAAAATGGCAAAAAGCAAAACCATAAGTCATCAACCCAGTTCAAGATGGCAGCTCTTCTAAAAGGGTTTGTTGCTGAAAGGGGTTGAAGCTAAAGAGTGGCATCCCTGTCCACATGATCTTCCGCCTGGACATTCATAGGACTTGCTCTTCCACATCATTCATATCTCAGCTCAAATTACTTTCCTCTAAGATACCTACTCCACTCCCTCTTTCCAATGGCCCCTAGGGGCTATCCTAGCCTTAATGCCTACACATCTTGGTTTTTCAGCTTCTCTCAAAACATCACTTACTGATTTTTTTGAATATATCCATTTGTCTATTTATTAATTATCTAGTCCTACTCAGAACATAAGTTTCAGGTAGGAAGAATATTTCTGTTTTGTTGACTGCTGTATCCTCAGGACTGGGAGTATTACCTGACATGTACTAAGTGCTCAAAAACATATTTGTTGAATGACTGACTGAATAATTTGGGAAAAGTATGCTCTTACTTTGCTTCTTCTGAACTGTATATTTAAAAAAGCACAAAAGTTGACCACAGCCCACTTATTGCTTCTGATAAAATTCACCATACTATTTGGAAAATTAGTATTATTGTCACCCGGGAGATGTTGAAGGCACATATATGCACAGATATGCTTACCTGCCCCAGTAGTGGACACCAGTTTGGGCTTGCTGCGAGCACCATCTCCTTTGGTGGTATAGGCTGTGACGGTGAGGGAGTAGGAAGTTTCAGGCTGTAGCCCAGAAATAATCATGTCCTAAAATGACACAATAGAATGACACTGATTCAAAACACTACAAATACCCTGGGGGAAAATCAAAACATCCATGTTCATTCTATGCATGCTTCATTACTCCCTGTAGCCATGCCAAGCACTGGAAGTTTCATGCCTGGAGCTCATGCTATGGATGATCTGTTTTCATGCTGACATTAAAGTGGGGACTTCAGCCATCCTAAAAGGTAGTTCTAAGAAGTAGTAGTTAAAAACATGAAACCTGGAGCCAGAACTCCTAAATTCTTTAATTTAAACCTGAATCTCCTTATTTACTAGCTTGGTGATCCAGGGCAGGTGAGTTCACCCCTCTGTACCTCAGTTTCTCTTGTGAAGGTTGGAATAATAGAATGATTAAAGGAGTTATATCAGGTAAACATTTACAACTATGCCTGGCTCATAGAGAACAATCCATAAACCGGCAGTCATATTATGCCAGTAGTTTTCAATATGCATCCACTATCGCCTGGCCCACAGACCAGTGATGGTGCTGATGCCAATGTAGCTTGCTTTATCACCATGCTAGTATTTTGCCAAATGGCTGATCTGTTGAAATTTGATATCTTAACAGCCAGAGAAGTTTTCTAGGACTCAAGTAACATACTAGTTAGTGATATAGATTATGGACTAAAATTATTACACACTAAGGAGAATTTTCTGGTGATTTGAAGTAGGCCATAAAACAAAAGAAAAGTACTTCTTCTACCACATCATGAATGTATGCCCAACTAATTCTATTTAGAAAATGTTAAATATCACAAGCCATTAAAATTCTAGTTTTCTCTTAGGTAGGGTCCCAAACTGTGGTGGTTATAAGACTTAGATCTGTTATTCCAAACTGGAGATTATATGATTCTTTACATAGAGTGGTTATTAATTTGTTGTGTTACTTTCTCCAGAGCTACTACACGCACACATGTGCATGTGCATGCATGTGTGCACGCACATGTACACACACACACACACACACACACACAAACACCCACAGTAAAAACAAACAAAACAAAACAAAACAAAAACCCTTTCAGATATTTGGTATAACTTTGCTTTCAAATTGAATATGGTTCAAGATATGAAAATATACAATGCCGCTGACTTCCACATCTGAAGACAATGCAAGTGAGAGCTCATGGAATGGACTGGATTGTGTGGAGGACAAAAGGATTTCTCTGTACAGGTTTTAAGGGGCATCATAGAACTCAATTATTTAATCTGATCCCAAATATGACAGCTTTTGACAGTCTTCTTTTCTCAAAATAGTAGGAATATCATCAGAGTTGAAATTCAAGAATTTCAGGTATCATACTGGAGAGCCACTGGAAAAATTATCCTGCCAGATGAATAGACTAAATTTGGGAGAGAGATTTTATTTTCAGGACCTTGGAATGGTTTCACTAACATTAAAGTGACTATAAAAACCATCCAATCACCCAAGAGCAGCAGTAGATATAATGGATATTCCAAAAATTATAACGGGAAACACCAGCATTATTGTTTCCAAGGTGCCTCACACATGCTACGGGATTTCTGCTGAATGTAGGCAAGGCTAGGGAGAAAAAGCAAGGCTTGCCTCTATCACCAAATTGTATGGAAGAAATATACTCTGAGACTTATACACATCTTTTTCATTTATAAAACTGGGATTAACCACACATGTCCTTTCTCTTGCAAAGACTGCTACGGCATAATAAATTGTAATGCAATTTGAAATTGGTTAAACTGTCTGCAGTGGTATAATCACAGCTGGACACACCTCTATCTGCCTGGATCACATCATCTCTTGCATTATGTGTTCTTTCTTTAAACTGTGCACACACTCGCTTGGGGATTTCCATACCCTCTGTGGGGTAGGGTGGCTGATATCATGGCCAATGTTCATCACTCTCTTTGTCTTCCCCTAACTGATTTCCATTCAACTTATTGCCCCTACCTGTTAAAAGTTGGCATTCTCAGATGTTTTGAAACAGTTACTGGCCTGCTGTGTTTCTCTCTAGTCCTAAAAAACACATTTCCAAACTTTAAAGAATTTTTTTCTGTCTATATCCTAAATTCATTTTGTCTTAATTTTCCATCAGGGCTCCAAAGGCGTGTACGTTGTAAATATGTGGACATTTTCCCTTGATTATCAGTTGTTCCCTCAAGTTTAACTAAAGCTCAAATGTCATTCCCAGGAAAAAACTCCCCTCTTTTTTTATACTTTAATGAATGGTAGAGCATATTCCAAACGTATGAGTGATCTTGATCTTTTTTTCTTCCTCAAATTCTTAGCAGGTTTTCATCTTTAAAGTAGTGACCAAAACTGTTCCTTTTTCATTTCTGATGCCTCAGTTTTGCTGAATTTTATAATTTCATGACTGCTTTAGTAAGAGAGTTGTTTTAATTCCCCTGTTTACTCTTCTTTCTCTCTAATCTATCCACTAAGTCACTGGTTTTTAAGCTGCATGTAATGACCCACTTAAGTAGGTCATGAAATCAATATACTCAGTTATAACCAGCATTTTGAAAATGAGATAGAGGGGCGCCTGGGTGGTTCAGTCGGTTAAGCATCCGACTTCGGCTCACGTCATGATCTTACAGTTCATGGGTTCGAGCCCCGTGTTGGGCTCTGTGCTGACAGCTCAGGGGCTGGAGCCTGTTTTGGTTTCTGTGTCTCCCTCTCTCTCTCTGACTCTCCCCTGCTCACGCGGTCTCTCTCTCTCAGAAATAAATAAAGCAATAAAAAATTTAAAAAAATGAAAATGAAACAGAATAGACTTTAATGCAAAATATTAAAATTTACATATATTTAAAAGTAAGGTATCATTTTGTAAGACCTTTATTTTAAACATATGAATGCACTGGTCATGATATTTACTGCATTTCTTACTATGGATCACAGTCAATGAAGTTTATAAAACACTATTAGTCCCACTAAAACTGATACCTTGCCCACCACATATACCAACATTCCCAGCAGAAGTCCTGTGTTTTGGAAAAAAAAAAAAAAAAAAAAAAATAAAAGAAAAAATACCCTTACAAGCCTGTATATTGTTTCTATTGTTTCTATTTCTAATTTTCTATATTTTTCCAGTATTGAAAAGTTAAAAGCCAGGTCTTTAGCTNACTGGTCATGATATTTACTGCATTTCTTACTATGGATCACAGTCAATGAAGTTTATAAAACACTATCATTCCCACTAAAACTGATACCTTGCCCACCACATATACCAACATTCCCAGCAGGAGTCCTGTGTGTTGAAAAAAAAAAAAAAAAAAAAAGTAAATGAAAGAATACCCTTACAAGCCTGTATATTGTTTCTATTGTTTCTATTTCTAATTTTCTATATTTTTCCAGTATTGAAAAGTTAAAAGCCAGGTCTTTAGCTTGACAATTCAGGTTTTCCCAACATTATGTTAAAAGTTATCTCTTAGCCATAGTTAGAGCTAATTTACTGACCTGAACCCCTTCATTTATGTTAAATTGTCAAAGCTCACTATCAATTGACTATATCACATTCTTGAGTGTCCCAATGACTGCTTCTCCTATACTTTAAAAGATATGTTCCTCCCTCCAACTCCCCAACACACCACACACACACACACACACACACACACACATTTTCTAACTCTTCAATCTTTACTTATCTTTCAAGTTCTCAACTGTGTTTCAAGACCTCTTCTACCATCTTGGTCCATGGTCTCTGAACTCACAGCTCTTACTGACAATGTCACTCATTTTATTAATTGATTACACATTACTTGAGGTCATTGCTTTTGTTGTATTTTATGGAACTTCTCTGTACTTTACATCCTTCTTAGCCACCTACTGTAAGCACTTAGAAGGCAGAGTCACATCCTATGACCCCTTTACATAATAATAAGTTCTCAATAAATAACATAATCTAATCATCGAAATATTTTTAAAAATTCTTCTCTCAGATACTTTCTGCTTCTTGCCATGATTCATTCAGTTTTACTCAAAGTTTACTCAAAATTAATTCGTGCCAGATCTACATTGTGTTATCCATCTAAAATGTAACCCTGGGGTAGGATTTATGAACAGTCTATATGAAACAGCTTAATATCTCTCATCTGGGATGCTCCACTTGAAGCATGCCACCTCTAACTGTGTCATAAGGCAGAGTTAGTAGCAGCCATCAAACCAACAAGAGCTCATGATTTTCTTAGGCAACCAGTAGCACCATGCCAATTTCACAAAACAGAAGCCTCAATAAAAGGATACCATAGAGTGAAGATAATTTTAAAATACTAATTTGTTAGTTCATGCATCCAAGCAACTTGTGATGGCATATCAAACATAAGTAAAATAGGGGTGTCAGAAAAAACAAGCATTTGTAATCTGTTTTTGACAAAGCAGTCAAAAAATTACTCACATGTTCAGTAGTATCATCAAATTCCCACTGATTGAGATTAAGAAGGTTGGGGAAGAGGGAAACAAAATAAAAAGAAATGAAGAGAAATCTGTAGCCTTAAAAGGCAATGCTGTCCTCCTTAGATTAAAAAAAAATGAAAAAATAAGCAATTGGTGCAGTGTGTACAATAAAATTCCAAAGAGTAGGTATGTATGCTGCCACCCTCACCCTCAATTCAGAGGTCAAAAGTAAATATGCTTTGTATTGTTATCATTAAAATCAGCTAATCGATATTTTTAATGTGTGGTTCATTGAAAGGAATCAATAAGGCATAATGTAAATTTGATGTTTCTAATCATACACTACTTTATGACATTTATTTTGACTTTTTCCTTATGTTATGCAATTAACTTATGTCTAATTAGATTAATACCTTTCATAAAATATTGGAATCTTCTAGCCCCAGGGAAGTCTTGCAAGATGCAATGCAATTTCAATGAATAGTTAGAGGGCATATGAGGTAGGCAAAAACAACAACAAAAACAACCAAAAACGTATACACATAAATAAAATCAGCACATTAACAACAAAAGGACAAAGTAGAAGAGAGGGGAAGAAACAGTTGACATTCAAGGCATTTTGTGCCATATAATTCTATTAACCACAATGAAAACACTGGCAAAACTACAGATTTATAATGTAAAATTATCTAGGAAATGAAGGAAGACATCAGAACATGGTGGCCATACATTTTCTTTTTCATAATTTTAGACTTACAAAAGAAAACACAGGCAACAATGGATTTATTAATTTCAGATTGTGAGTACTTTCTGTTTCACACATAGCACAAAATAAATATTTAGATAAAGCAAGTCAACAGCCAGAGTCTAAAGGACTATGAATCTAAAAAATAAGTTTACAGAAGTAGACTTTAAAACCATGCAACTGGATGTGGAGCTGGTTAAGTAAGCCACTCATCCAGATCCCTTTAGTTAAAACATTTCAAAGTGGAAGGAAAAATAAGCATTTCTGTGAGTTGATTATACTAAGACATTAGGGAATGCTTTCTTTACAGCCACAGGGGTATGTAGTGATCTCTTGTTTGCACAGAAACAAGAATGCAAAATTTGGCAACCTGATGTAATATTTCTCAATATAGTGTCTTCCTTACAGTCTTCCTCACTTTCACACAAAGGAGGAAATTTTTTACTGAAATAAATTTCAAATTTCCCAAACCTCATCCATTTCCATGCCCAGCCACCAATTTGCTAGATAAGCAGAAAACTCCCCTATTCATGACATCCCAACACTACTGGATCCAGCACAGGTAAGCTATCCATGGGTAACATGTAAACCCCAGCATAAGTTAACTGAAATCTTCTCTTCCTTTCAGGTAAATATATAGAATACAGGTAAATTTATTATAGTATTATCCTTTGAAACACTTTAGTTTATGGAAATAAAATGGGAACATTTAATGCTCTGCTTTAAACAATTAATTACAAAAGCCAAGTTGTGACTGCATGGTTATAAACAACCACTCTAGGATCAGTAAAATTTCTCACATACTCAACTATTCTTCATACTTTTCTTAAGTTGGTTTAACATAGGGGATTCTCATTTATTTCCTTGGAAACTGTAAATTAATTTTTATGATCATTATCTTCATTTTCTGGGAAATCAAAATTAGTTCTGAATACATGATTTGATTAAGTATTAAATAAAATACTATCTGGATACCTTTCCTCAAATAAGGATGTCTATTCTTCAATAGAAATCTTACACTTAGAAATTAGATCAATTTAGTTCCAAGGAGTTTTAGCAGAGCTGCTTAGAATTCTGTTAATTAGATTAAAATCAAATCAATTTTTTTGATGACAGAAAGGCAAACTCAGATATAAATGTAGAGAGCTGAGTATCTGTATTTTAAGAAAACAGTTACATGTTTTTAATTAGGCTTGAGTGTCAGTTCATTACAATTCAGTTTCTCACTTCCTGTCAACTTTGACTGAGAAGGTAAATATAAATCATATGCTTTAAAAACTAGAATTTTGTGCAGGATTTTTAAAATGTCAAAAAAAACCCACAAAAAACAAACAGGGCCTGTTTCAAGGACTAAACTAAAAGTATAAAAAATAAATAAAAACATAGGTATGTAATTTCAGAGGCTTACCTGTGCATCAGCCAGCATAACATCCTTCAGCATGGGCTGGCCCTTGGGCTCACCATTTTCCATCCTCACATAATGCACCTGGTATCCTCTTATCTGGCCATGCTGTTTATTGGGCACAGGTGAGCGCCATGAGACTTTAACAGATGTTGAGTTGACAGCCTCTACCTCGACTTTGCGAGGAGGACCACTAGGAACTGGAACAACATCATTGGATAAAAGAAAATTATAGGCACTTGTCCCACCCAGAGTATTTTCTTTACTTAGGTTTAAAAAAAAAATGGGCAGACCCACTATGTTTCCTTTGTGGAATACAAACATTTTCAAGCAATGAAAATGCTCAACCAATCTGCTCTACCTTTTAAGAAAAGATCAAAAAACATGACCGATGCCAAAAAAAAAAAAAAATGGAAGAAAAAAAGAGTATCAGAGAAATAGAAAAACATGTAAAAAATGTACAAAAGCCAAGGAAGATGCTTTGAGGCTCAAAGCATTAAAGCACAAAGAGGAATAGCATTGAAATAATAACAAAAACTGGTTGTTGATTGTTGTGTGTTTAAAGGTCTCTTTTAGCAGAATAAAAAGATTCTTGATTATATGGGTTTTCTTCTCTTTCTTTCTCGTATCAAAGGTTTTCCAAACAACAGATGCCAAAAATTGAATGTCGAGCATCAGTGTCTCTGAAATATGCAAAACAAAAAGGCAACAGGAAGATAAGAAGACAGTTTTGAAAAGTTTACTTCAAAATGTAAAAGAAGTTATTTAAAAAGGCCAAGAAAATCACAGAAGACTTCAGACGGAAGTATAGAGAACGGCCTGGATTGCAAGGTCATACCAGCAAACTGTTCTTTTAAAGGGAAGCAAATTACTGTGTTCAGATTGAAAAAAAAAAATTGCCCAGGCTGTAGCAAAGATAGGTCTTTGGCAAAAACTACTGAAGTCACAGCGATGCTGGGTAAAAAAGATGAGCAGAAAAACAAAAACAAAAACAAAAATAAAAACAAAAACACGGATTACCGTTAGCCTATCAAGAGACAGCAGACCAAGACTGTGTCAGAAGGGTGCAAGCTGACGTAGCAGAAGCAACATACCATCTTCATCAGTTCGAATCAACACGGAGAAGCTCTCGGGGCCAGGGCCGACATCTGTGTGGGCTGTCACAGTGATCCGGTACTCAGTCCATTTTTCCAGCTGTTCCAAAAGGTACTTAGTAGTGTCCGAAGGAATTCCCAAAATCTCGTGAGGTTTGTCATCTTCTCCATCCACGGAGGTGTACTTGATGGAGTATTCAGTAATAATGCCATTCTGTTTTTCCACTGGTGGAGGTTGCCAACTTACCAAAATACTAGTGGAACTTGGGCTGGTGCAACTAATGTCTTGAGGAGGAGCTGACGGCTCTTATTTTGGTAGTGAGTTAAAGGAGGGTTTGAGTGAAAGGGCAGGAGTGGTTGGAAAAAAAAATGATAAAACAAAAGAAAAGGTAAAAATAAATAAATGAACAATAAGGGCAACAAAATGAAAATAAGGCTTTGAAACTCAAAATAAAAATTTAAATTTATGTACCTTGGCTTAGTAATATGAATAAACCAAAAAATGAATAAATGACCAGAAATAAATGTTAAATAATGGGTGGGGGGAATATGTGAACATGAAACCTTGAGATAATAGGGCCTCAAATAAGATTACCTACCTGCAATTTAAATTCTTCTTCTAAACCAATCCCTCAGTATTTCCCAGCCCTACTGCAAAGACTACCCAACTTTAAAAAAGCTGTAAATATGCTAAGGTTTAGTACATGAGAGTCAGATGATGCTTCACAGATGCTGTTTCCAGCTTTCCCTTCTACATCTAGAATGAGGGTGATTCATGTACAGTATTCATTCGTGAAAGGGTTTTCAAGCGTAAAATGTTGCAGTAATTGTTGGATGCCCTTCAATCAATTCCAATTAAAAAAAAATAAAAGCCCAAATATAAAAGCATTCCCTCTGACTATCTGAAAAACTGAGCCAGCCTGACCAGATTTAATGAAAGGTGTTAATCTAGAATTGATTGTAGCCCATATAAGTGAGCATGCAGAATCAATAAAGGATGAAATGCATAGTCCAAGATTTACCTACCCGAGGGTAATATCAGGCTTGTTGATTCTGACTGTAACTTGTACTTACCCTACGTCAGCTTTCAGCTTTTTAAAAGAATTTATTATAACAATTCTTGAGACACCATTACTAGTAAAGAATTAGATTCCACCACCAAATTTTGGTAAAATCAATATTAATAATAATCTATCCCTTACAGAATGTCACTGACACAGCCATTAATAAGAACTATTTAAAAAATATCTTGAGAACCATCTGGAAAAGACACAACTCATGTGCAAAATCTCCTTCATTTTGTACATAGTTATTCATATAGAGTTTACATAGAGTTAAAAGAGAAATTTTCTTATTGTCCATTCTAAAATAAAATGGTCAATTTCTGAGCGATTATTTTACACCAAATTACCCAAACATCATTACTTGAAAAAAATTTAAAAAGCAATAAAGAGCAATGCAAATGGTATCATAAATTAGTTTAAAGTTAATAATATATAATTTCTAAAAAACAAAAGGGATAAAATATACATACAAACATATTATTTATTTTAAGGTGATTGATATGGCAGAATCAGTAGATCATTTCTAATTTTGTGTTTGTAAATATGGAGTTTCGGTGTTTCCTTAGAATTTGTGCATATTAATGGTATGTAGTATCAGGTGTATTTAATTGTTTACAAGATTATTTGTCTTTTTAAATTTACATGCCTTGTGTTCTTCATCACAGTGAATAAATAATGAAAAGCTCCCTGTGCTCATAAAAAGAAATTCTCATACGAAAATTTTAGCAATTTGGAGCAAGATTTATAAAATCACTGGAATATCTATCATTTTTATTGATTCTGACTACAGATTCTTATATTCCAAATTATGAAACTATTTCATATGCATTATCAGTATTCATAATAAACTGAGTCGTTCATATAATAGCAAGGACTCATTTGTAATTCTTTTTAAAAAGCTGATTTCATTTTTACTGCATTGCTACCTTCAGACCTCCTATTCTGTGAGAATATATTCAACATCATTTGAAACTTTTACTTTAATAAAATAAGGAGTAGATAAGCTTTTGATGTAGTTATAAAATGTCTATTCTGTTTCTGTGTATGTAAATATATATGTATGAATGTATGTATCCATGCAAAAATGCCAGTTTTGTAAGCCAGGCAAAATACAATATTGAAACATGTCACATTTCTTTTAATTAAATTCCTGAATTTAAGAACTATGTTCTATAGTATTACTTATTAGCCTGCCTGACATTAAAAATAGAAAACAAAACTGGATTAATTTACATGCTTCAGTTTATAAAAGAAAGGGACTTTTATGGGAATAGGTTATTATCACTAATGGATTAAGTAATAGGGCCCTAATACTTTTTGTACACACAGTCATGTTTTGACAAAGATAGAGAATATATATCTTCAAATATATATCTTTATCTTCAAAAAGCCCTAGATAATTTTAAATTTCTATAGATAATGAAATAATAGAAGATTTGCTTATATGAAAGAAAATTCATTTTTTAGAAAATGTAAATTTTTTCTTTGCTGATAGACCCAAAATTAAGGTCAACAGAGCATCTACTTTAAAAAATTCAATGTATTGAGACCACACATATCTATTGCATATGTAACTGTCAAAAATCACATATAAAATATAAAGTATAAAATATACCTAAGGAATAACGCCATAAAAATCTTCAAGGTAAGTGGTTGTTTAATAGACTAACTATGGAAACTTATTAATAAGGAGCAAACAATTGCATTATTATAAGTCACCAAATTTTCCATCAAAAATAACTTTCATATGATACTTTACACAAAGCAATCTTCCCTGGACACAATGAACCCCCATTGTGATAAACATAACTATGCTTTAGGGTAAGATTTTCCACAAAAAAATTGAACCTGAGGAAACAAAATACAATTTAGGATTGCAAATGTACTTGTGATTTCCACTGTTCCTAAATTTGTCCAAATACAGATTTTCTATGAATGTTCCAAATTTCCACATGTACTTCTTGCGGACCTAATAACAAACTGGTCACAAGAGCTGAGCTTTTCTCTGAGTAGAAACAAATACATGAGATAAAGACCTGTTTGTTAGCAAAGTTAAAACCACTGGGCTTAAAAAACATACAAATTTGGTCTTTGTTGCCTCTTTAGTTTGCTAAGCTCTGTTGTGAATATTTGGCAGTGTTTTCAAACAGAAGATTGCTGTGCAGCATTATAAATCATTAAACATAGCCTGGTGGAACTTTCACTCATTTTCCTCATGGAGCTCTCTGAACTTATCAGACTTCTTCCAGTTTAGGAAGTGGGAGAATGGAATCTGCTATTTGGACCAAGCTGGAAACCAACACAGGTCATGGTTGTAATCCTCAAAGTTGGATACTTACTAGCATAGATACTCCTGACTAGCAAACATATTAATTAGCTGATTTGTTTGTTGGTGGGGATAACATGCCGCAACACCTGCTAGTGAAGAAGGACTAAAAACAAGCAAAGAGAGACACCTACTTGACTGCATGGTTCTGGCTGATATTTCAGCTGTGGAAGCACCCAGGCCTTGGGGAGAGCGTGCAGCCAGACGGAAGTAGTACAAACTGTTTGGTTTCAGCCCTTGCAGTCTGTATGATGTCCCTGGCTCGATGGTAATTCGTTGCTGTGGATAAATTACAAAAGAACTGGGTCATTTTCATGAGGATTCATGCAAATATTTTTATCACACTGCCTGGAACCCCATATTTCTGTTATTGAGGTTAGAAAAGCATCAAAATATCACAAATAGAATCCACAGTGAGTATCTACGACTCTACCAGGGGAATTATACAATGAAACTCTCAGTGTGTAAACACTGGTCAATTTCTACAACAAATAAGGCAACCAGAATAATGGAAGTCACGGATCTTTCTAATGATGATCCAGTTACCAAATGCATCAGATAAGAGGAAGGTTAGGAGGCCACCACCCATAAATGGGTTGTATTTAAGGTGCCCGTGTTGCATGATGTAACCCACAACAGAAACTGACACCTGCCTCTGATGGTGGAGTATGGCCAACATGCACAATTTCAACTGAAGAGACGTCTCGCTCATCTCCCATGACCTTCTGAACTTAAACAGGGGCAAAGAAAATATGACGAGAAGTAGCATCATAAAGTAGTGTACAGGTTATATGTGGCTGCTACAAGAGATCTAAAATTACAAAGCTCTGATGGGATTAAAATGATGTTAGTTACTGAAGAAAGTTGGATAATTTATATGAAAATCATATCATTATTCTATGTTGATTTAAAACAATTTTAAAACTTTTTTCTTTGTGGCTATAGAGCACACAGAGAAAAAAGTCAGAAACTTTCTGCAAATTTTGCCATCATAACGGGCTTCTGAAGTAAGGTTTATTTAATTGAATGTTGTAACTTACTTTTCATGTTTAAAACTTGACTTGAATTTTAGCAAATATATAGCTATGGGTAATCAATCTCATATTGAACATTAACCTGTATGTAGTAAGCCTTAAAACAACACTAATATGTAATCTAGTAATGGCATAAATAATCTTAAAGGCTTTTCATTGAATAGAATTTGCTGTTCAAACAAACAGAAATCAGTCAAAGGAAATTCAAATATAAAACTAGAGAAAACATCCCTAAGGGATTCTGGCTTACAAATAGAAAAGCTTATAGAAATTTTAGATTTCCCAAATGGTAGGAAAAAAGGGATTCCCCAAAGAAACCATTGTAAAACAGTGTTGGTGTACCAACATTCAAGCATCTACATCTATAGAATTCTCAAAGGATTTCCACTCTTCTGTGCTGTTTTTATTTTGTTATTTCAGTTGCGTAGTGGTAAGGACTTAAAATGAATAAATGTTGAATTGTGTGTCTTAATAAAAACTGTTTTCATTGCAGTAACATAAATAATTTAAATTATAGCAGCATTTCAATTATATAACTTTTTGAGTGCTTAGTTCATACTGGCTTTGTTAGCTAACTCTAAAAGCATTCCATTTAGAACCTGGTCTTTGGGGATTCTGCTCAATTCAGACAGATGTAAGAAGATAAAAGTTTATAGGGACATATTAATTTACTATATAGCATTCAGAACTATATACCATAAGTTAATTGATAATATTTCACTTAGTACGTGAGTGTTTTAAAAAGGTATTCCTGTTAGTAGTTAGGGTTACCTAGCTTTGTGAAGATCTTTTTAAGATAAAGAATGCTAAGCAGTATAATAACATGACTTGTGCAGATTGAGTTGTCACATGTAATTTCACTAATGTTTTGTTCTAATGCCCTTGGATTGGATTTCACAGTAACAAAATGTTAGATGTATCTTACTACTGGTTTCTATAATTTACACAAAGCGCACCCAAGAGGCAGTATACCCCAATGTTTAAAAAATAGATTCCAGGGGCGCCTGGGTGGCTTAGTCGGTTAAGCTTCCGACTTTCGCTTAGGTCATGATCTCGTGGTTCGTGGGTTCGGGCCCCGCGTCGGGCTCTGTGCTGACTGCCAGCTCAGAGCCTGGAGCCTATTTCAGAGTCTGTATCTCCCTCTCTCTCTGACCCTCCCCTGCTCATGCTGTCTCTCTCTCTCTCCTAGAAATAATAAAAAATATTTAAAAAAAATAGATTCCAGAACCTAACTGCCTAGAGTTTCAAATACCAGTTCTGCCATTCAGTAGTGTGAGATTTGGGGGAAAATGTTTAACTTTTTCTGTGCTTCCACTCTGTTATATGTGAAATTGGTTGCAAGCAGAAACTGACTCATGGCACCATTGTAAGAATTGAAAGAATTAATGTATGTGAACCCCTTACTATACCTGTTAGCATATGTATTAGTTACCTTGATTTTGTTTCTCTTTTTGCTAACTATCAACAACTTCCAGCCTTCTGCAATCCACCATTATTTTATTTGCATAGCACACTCAAACATTATATGTACTCACATTCACATCAAATAACTGTTGGCACACAAATAAGCACTTGCATGGGGACTCTTTCTTTGAAACCAGTTTGGACAAATTCATCCACCTAAAGCTTTGCAGCTCACTCAGTCACATATCAGCAGTGCTTTAAGTACTACAGTGCTGAAGAGAAATAAAGGAAGTCCCTAAGTCTCATAGACTATATTCTTTTAGATACTTTCAGAAGAAACTTGGAAACCTGCAAATAGGAACAACAGCTGTTTTATTGTTGTTGCTTGCCCTACTCCATCCTCCTGAAGGACTGAAATCAATATTCTGGGTTTTTTAGTCAAGTGCTTTCTTTGATGAATGAATGTGACCCACCAAAGTGCTCTATAGATATCTGGGCTTTTAGCAGAACTTGGGCAAATACACAATCTAGAGTAGTGCCCAGTATAGTAAATGCTCAGAAGGTGAGAAGCACAGTCCTACCTCCTCTCCATGCTCCCCATCTTTGTAGACCAGTTCATAGTTGGCAATGGTGTCTGAACGTGGAGGTGTCCAAGACAGCAAAATACTTGTTTCAGACTCAGGTTCTGCTTTGAAGTTTAGTGGTTGCCCTGGTACTAAAAACAGGAAAGCAAAGGACTGAGCTCACCATCACCATGAATATTCATAATCCACACAGTGTCCACATGTGTCAGCTTAATGGAGACTTAGGTCACACTGTACGTGTCCTTGAGCAGTTTAAAATCTATATAAGATATGGTAGAATTATCAAATACAGGATAGAGCAGTCTCTGAATTTCATCTTAAGAGTAATAAACTCATTTCATAATATTGTTGTACTAAATTAGACGATTTATATAATGCAATTGGATTACTATCTAAATCATAACAAGTGCTAAATACATAAAAAATTCTTATTTAAAATTGAGAACTTTAAATGTAAAATTGAGAACTCTAGCACTATGTTTAATTTTCAAAATTATTGCCATTAGGTTTATTAAATCTCACCTTCACTCCATTAACAAAACCTATTGGTAACCAGAATCACTAATATTTTTTTCTTACCAACACATATTTTGAATAAGAGGTGAAGAAAAATGCAAAATACCCATCACTTTCAAATAATTACTTCTAGTCTCTAATTGACTTTAAATGACTTAATATAGAGGCTTAATGTAAACTTAATGCTGTCCCTAGTGAGATGGAACTAAATTACCACACATATCAAAAAAGTTTAAAGAGTATGTTTATTATCAGAAAAATAGTAATTTAACAGCTGTCATCTATATTCTCATATTAGTCATATAACTCATGCAATGGACAATTTGGAATATATCATATGTAATAAAGAATGGGACATCTATCTATTTTAAAACACTTTGCCCAAATTTGTATTAGAAAAAAGTTTTACTAACCCCAACCTCCTGGTAAACACCAAATCCCATTGGTCCTCTATCCCTTCTACACAAGGTTAATGTAGGTCAGGGCATCACTAGCCCAGCTACCCTTACATTGTTCTTGGCCAGTGTCTGCTCTGACTGGTTGTTGCCCATGCCGTGCTGGCCATTAAATATTTGAATCATTACCCCTGTGATGATTCATCATACCCCCACATACTGTGGCATGTCTCAAAGCACTATAGTTGACCACAGGTACATATTTCCACAAGTAAACATGAGAATTATGTGTATATTTAATAAAACGCAAGAACACTAATACTTTATTCTGAGGGGAAAAGAATACTTAAAGAGTTTTTGGCAAATGGGCATAAACGTTGGAAAAACATATGAAAAATAATATACTTTGTAACTTTTTAAATAATACTTGAGGAATCATTTTCATAAGTATGGAGATCTTTAGAAATATAAAATGTGTTACTTTTTTTCTTTTGTAGTAATCTCTCTTGTAGTACAATTTAAAAAATGGCCTTTTGCTTAAAAAGAGAAATTCTAAACAGATCTACCAGAATGGTTTCCAGGAATCCCATTTTATTTTATTCCTCTACCTGTTCTGTTAACCTGTGAGTGTGTGTGTGTGTGTGTGTGTGCGCGCACGTGCATGTGTGTGTACCTGCACGTGCAAGCATACACACTCATGTTTGGACTGATGCAGAAGGTGACCAATAGTCAGTGCTTCATATTTCTAAATGCACTCATTAATTTTTCTCTCTTTTTTGCATCACAGGGCTTGAGCTACTCATTAATTTGATGCCTCTGTGAACATACTTTCTAAACAGGGTATCTTTTTTTTTTTTTTTCCTTTTTTCTCTTTACGTACTTGCCCAGTGAGAGACCTTACTTACATAATCATCCAGACTGAGAAACAGAGACAAAAGAAGATAAAAAGAAAAAGAACAAGAGAAGGGAAAGTAATAAACAGGAAAATAGCAAAGCAAATAGAGAACACATTAATTATAAAAGGGAAATACCAAAAGCACTGGCAGGAGCAACAATGGAAGCCAAGAACAATCAGACAGATGGGGAATTTATGATTAGACTTTAATATTCAGATGATTAAAGGAGTTCTCAGCCTAAAATACACACACATTTGTGTGCTCACTTCTTTTTGTCTACGTTTGTTTCCTTCTTTCTTTCTCCCAACTTCCACAAGTCCGGGAAAGAAGAGCCTTGTGATAACTCCTGACTTACGCCAAACTGGAACACGGTCTTGTCAAGAATTAAAAACATGGACAGAATTGGAAGGCCTGCTCTCAGGATAATAATTGCTTGTTATGTATTTCCGCCCTGTCTAATGCTAATAATGAACTGACATTGATTGAAAACATCTTGGGAATCTAATTAACTTTTTCTTACTTAACTGTTTACAATTTTGCTTTTAATTTGTCTTGAACAGATTCCCAGTGGGTCTCAATGCTTCATCCTTGTTTAGTAACACAAACATCATCTGACCTTCTGATTCCATTAAGACACCTCTCCTTCTAAATAGTAAATTATATGGGCTCAAGGTTTCAGAGGTATACGGTCCATTCTACTCTTGGACAAAATAAGTAGTGGTCAGATGATTTCAAATAATGTATACAAGTTTCTCTGCTTCTACTTTGTCCTTCCTTTGAAGTGGTCTGGAGGGTAACTTAATTTACTAGATTTTAAACTTGTGGTAGAAATACAAATGTCTACAGGCATCAGGCAAATGAATATGGAGACCAAGTGGGGCCTGGGGCTGATGGGAGACTGCCTGGCCTACCTGAAGGAGTTGGTAGTATTCAGCACCAGGAGAGTGATGCTTTTGTTGTTTCGTGCATTTGTGGGGGCCAGTCTTGGCTGAACTTCTGATTTTTCAACAAAAGTTAATAACAAATCTTCTAGGCAAAATCTTGCAATTTTTAACCATTTGGAATTAATTGAAAAACACTACAGGGGGCAAATGATGTCTACAGGCAAAATTTAGCAAATGGGCCAGTGCTTTAGGAGACCTTTTATTATAACAGGCTCTATGTTCATAAATACCCTTAGGGTGTCACTACTCAGAACCCCCCACTCCCAGGAATTGAAGATTCACCTAAAGAGATTGCTTCCTCAGAGTCATTTAGTCATATTTGAAACAACCACAATGAAACTGAGGCATCAAAGTAAAAGAAAACAGCTGCAAAATTAATGGATTTATTTTTGCACCCCTCAAACATAGTAGAACGAATGATCATAATACATGTATATTAAAAAGTATTTTAGGGGAGCTCCAAACAGTCTTATTTCTCTGTACTATTTCAAAACACAGGAGCACTTCATCCTCTGTCAGTCAGACTTTTATACCAAATGCTGTGGCCACAGTTTCTATTAACATTTATATTTGTGTTATCTATCTGCTCCTTCCCTTCTCTCTCTCTCTCTCTCATGAGAGAATCATTAAAATGTTTGTTATAATGTTTGTAAACAGTTGTAATGTTTGTTGTAATGTTGTAATGTAATGTAAACATTACAACATTTTATGTTTTGTATAATGTTCTCAGTGTTTATACCTCAAACTTACTGGCATTCTTTTATCTTCGCTTCTTGTTTGTTTCTATTTTACATTTATATAAGAGCTTTTCTGTGTTATAACATTTCCCTAACCAATTAACTGAGCAAAATTTTATAGGAAATTCTTGAGACTCTGAAAAACTCTTGGGAAAATGAAAAGATGCCACCCAGAAACTTAAGTGCAATTATTCTATATTAAAAGGGGGGGATTTGATAATACTTACCATAAACCAAATACAGAATTTAAATGTGGAAAGAGGAAATGTAGTTAGAACTTAAATTTTTTCATTAAAATTATATTCAAGAAATCTTTGTATTCTGTAAAATGGTGTCAACATTAAAATTTTTTTCTAGATTACTTAATCTCCATAAGGAAATACAAATATGAGTTATCAATTCCCTAATATAAGATTATAATCCCATTGATAAATGTAAAGGATTTTAATGGTACCACTATTATGCTTCATTTTAAATATCAGGAAGCAACTCAAAGACAGAAGATGGAGAATGAATAAGAAATGGAGGACAAATCTGCATGTCATTTGAAATGCTGACCATATTGGAAAATATTTTATTTTACTCAATATTTTACTCAACATTTGAGTAAAATTTAAGAAATATCTCTAAAGAGAAAAGGGTTAGCATGCATTAAATGGCTACACAACAATTTCACTTAACCATATTATAAACACACAATATCAGAGAGACTGGAAAACCAATTACTGCTAAAATACCAATTACTTTAATAAGGTACACATTTTAAAATCTATCTAACATTTTAATAAATAATAACAACAATAAAAGTAACTGCCAGAATCATAGTGGTGGTAAAACAAAACAAACTTTTAAACCAAAGAATCTGATTTGTAAGTGTTAAAAATATATCATTGATAAAAAAGTACTTAACACACCTGCACAAATCTTACTATCAATCATCGTTAAATATCAATAAGAAAAAGTTAAATTTTATTACAATTGTATTTATGGCTAGAGCTTCTGGACTCCTTTTAGCTCCTTTGCTAAAACTATTTCAAGAAAGCCTATAAATTGGGCTCATAATTTTGGCAATTGGAAATCAGTCTTTTTCTAGTTTGCTTATTTAGGCTTGCTAACATCTATTAATGAAATTATTTACTAAGTTCTGGAAACCTAAAACATAATGTCTCTAAATGTCATAGTTTTTAAATAAAATTTTTACAATGCTTAGAATTTGGAATAGAATTAGCTTCTTGAAGAAGTTTAAAGTTGTGACTACTCAGTATTTATTTAGTAAATATACATAATTATTTTCCTTCCAAGAACCTCTACTATTAAGATATACACATATAAATCAGTAGTCTTTTCCCAAGAATATATTAAGTGCACAGAAAAGTTGGAGGTCAAATATGTTTTCTAAAGAAAGAAACAAGAAATTAAGATTTAACATATTTAGAAAGCCTACAATTAGGATGGACATCAGGCAACATTTTAGTGTATTAGGTTTGAGATATAATTTACTACATTCTCTGCCATAGTTTTATTTGTACTTCTTTTATGAAATATAGTTACTATTTGTTCTTATTATAATTACCTATACAAGAAAACTATATACAAAGACATCTTTCCAAAATGTGTATTCTAATAGTGGAATTCTTCTAGCACAATATAAATCCCTTCCTAGACAATGGCCATATACTGCATCCTCCATATGTACAAGGTGAACTAGTACCAAATGACTATAATGCAAGGAGTTAAAGCTATGAAAAAACTGGAAGATTAATCCGTGTTTCTAAAAAATAATTATTTTAAGCAAAATATTTTCATACTTAAAACCATCTAAAGATTACTTAATATTATCAACTATATGAATATCAATATTTAGGGAAATATTAACTATAAAATAGATCATATTTTGATTTTCTATATTATCAGAAATGCATAAATTTATATCAATTCTCTGTTTCCATGATTATTTCCAACAATAATCTTAGATGAGATCAAAAGTGATAACTTTAGTTTATTACTAAATACAGTTTCTTCAGAGTCTGATTTTAAACAAAAATTGAATTACTACTACCAGGGAATTAATGATAAAGAAATGTAACAAGCATCTTTCAGATATAGAAGACAAAGAAGTTTATAGCTTTGTACATATGAAATTAAAATATATTGAAGAATTCATACATATTAATCAGTAAATATTCATAGGTTTGGGAAAGATAAAATTGCAATGAAAATAACCATATCTTTAAGTTTTATATAACCTCTCTAAAATAATATTTCATAATGATTTTATGTTTTTTCCCACCTATGATCCTAAGAAATAGCTAGTCAGCAAGAAAAAAAGGAGCAGCTCAGCATTAATTATATTAAAACTAACATCACTGTATTTGGCAGGTGTCCACTAACATCAAATGGCCTTTGTTAATTAAGCCTAGGGAACAGATCAAATCATTGTGCTCTGGAAGGTTTTCTTAGCCTATCGATCTTGGCAGGCATAAGTCATTATGTCATTATATATCTTCTCAATCAATAGGTATGAAAAGTACAACTATTATACAGGTTCTTGGAAATCGTATAAAAATAGAGACTGGGAACAACCATCTGTAACACATTCATCCCCAGTTCAGTGTCACTGGATCACAGTAACTCATGTTAATATATTATGCTCCTTAGGGATACAGAAAAAGAAAATATGGTCTATTTAAATGTCAGTTTAGATATTTCAGAAAATTGTGACCAACGTCATTATTGCCTGTGTTTTCTGTGTTCTGAATATAAGGATTCTCATGATTCCCAAAGATTCTGATGTTTTGGTTGAATGTAGTTCCAGGAACTATTTGGTATCTTTGATACCTAAATATTTCTCATATCAGAAAAAAAAAAGTTTTAAACATTAGAGATTTTTTTGTTTAAATTTGTAGTTAGGAAATTTAGAACCACATTTAGTGATCAAGTATAATAACTTGTGAAAAAAGGTATTCCTTTCACTACTTTCAGATAAGCTTATTTATTTTTACATCTAAATGGTTTATATTTTTACATCTAAATAGTTTTGCACTGGGATAACCTAATATCCACAGAAGTAAATTACATGTAATTCTTAAATATAGACATGAATAAATGAATATATGTTTACTGCTTCTATTTATTTATTGAGCACCTGGTGGGCACACACGTCTAGCAGGCACCAAAGCTATCAAAAAGCACACTATTATTTTAAAAATAATGATGCCTTAAAGTAGCTAGGGAGCCTGGATTTACATGCTGCTTTTCCCCATGGGCACGTGGGTGGCTCAGTCGGTTGGGCATCCAATTTCGGCTCAGGTCATGATCTCACGGTTTGAGTTCGAGCCCTACGTCAGGCTCTGTGCTAACAGCTAGCTCAGAGCCTGGAGACTGCTTTGGATTCTGTGTCTCCCTCTCTCTCTGACCCTCCCCTGCTCACAATGTCTCTCTCTCTATCTCAGAAATGAATAAACATTAAAAAATAAAAAAAAAATTAAATTCTCCTCCCCCCCAGATTAAAAAAAATAAGTTCTTCTTTCCCACTTGTCAACTTTAGGACCCCAAAATAAGTTCTTAAGTCATCTTCAATTTTCAATTTACTTATTGGCAAGTGGGATAATTCCACATGTACCTAATTGGGTAGTAAAATTAATACCTGCAAATTATATAGAAGAGTACCTGGCAAATGTTAGCTATTTTTATTATGAGGATGATTATATATTATTTATTAAGTTATATAATGTTTCTATCTGTTATGTAAGCTATAACCCTGTTAGGGGTTGAAGTGTCACCCCCCCCCCGCCACCTGCCAAATTCATATGTTGAATTTCTAACCTTCAGAACGTGATTGTATTTGGAAATAAGAATGTTGCAGATGTGATTATTTAAGTGAGGTCACTAGGTTGGGCCCTAACCCATTATGACAAGAATCCTTATAAAAGGGGAAATTTGGACATAGAGAGGACATAATGTGACAATGAAGGCTGAGATCAGGGCCATGCCTCTACCAGACAAGGGGCAGTCAAGATTGCTACCAAAGCACCAGAGGCTAAGAGAGACCTGAAAGCCCCCTCACAGCTCTCAGAAAGAACCAATTCTATGGGCAACTTGATTTCAGACTTTTGGCCACCAGAACGGAGAGACAATAAATTCTTGTTGTTTTGAGCAACCCAGTCTGTGGTATTTTGTTGCAGAAGTCCTAGAAACCAAATACAACCTCTAAACTTGATACGGCGGTTATTATTTTATTTTTTAAACTTTACTTATTTTGAAAGAGGCAGAGAGGATGAATGCACGAGGAGGGGAGGGGCAGAGAGAGGGAGACAGAAGAAAGAATCCCAAGCAGGCTCTGTGCTGTCAGGGTAGGGCCTGGTGCAGGGCTCAAATCCGCAACAGTGAGACCCTGACCTTAACGAAAATCAAGAGTGGAAGGCTTAGCCAACTGAGCCACCCAGGTGCCCCAGCTGGTTATTATTTTAGATGAGAAAATACATTCAGAGAAATGAAGTAACTTGTCTCAGGTTATAGAGCTAAAACTGATGGGCTGGGATTCAAACTCTGGTTATGTTACTTCAAGACCAAGGCTTTTTAAAATATCGCCACTGAAAAATCAGAAAAACTAAGTGGAGCACTTAGTTTTCTTGTTCTTCTTGTACATTTTATCTTTAAATGGCTATGGAGCTGCTAAATAGTGCAGTAAAAAATACTCTTGCAGTAGTTGACCAGCTTTAGTTAACAAAAAGAACAAGAATCATATACTTCTACGTTTTCCAATGAGAGACTTGTGGAAAAAATAATCTACTGAATTTTTTTGTATGTTAATATAGTGAATAAATACAGAAGAACTTCAAAAGCCAAGTAGGGAAGATATATGAATGGTTTTCAGTATAATTGTGATAAAACACATTCTTTTAGTTATCTTTCATATTATTAGAGAAAATAAATCTATGAACAAACCAGTGATAACCAAATAACAGTATAAAAATAAAACAAAGCCAGGCAGGCTATAAATATGTTCTGAAATCTCTAGTAGCCAGGGAAAATAGGTAAACACGCTGAGTCATATTATTCTTAAAGCGTGAAACATTAAACAAGTCAGTAGTTAAACATAGGTTTATCTAGTTCTGACACCTGAAAAAATTCATTCCCAAGATTACTACTGAGTTACACCTACAGATTATAGCTACTATCTTCAAAAATATAGTTTTTATGTAGAGTCTTGGAACAACCAATGGCATTCTGCCAAAACACTCAGAATAACACAAGTTATAAGGCATCAGCACAATAAGGAGTCAAATTAATAGCTCTCACATGGTCAAGAATAAACTTTAGAAGATAGCTGCTATGTCATATTCCCAAACCAAGGCAAAATTGATCACTTTGAATCAAAGACCAGAGAGATTTGGTATCTGCTTATGAAAATAAAACTCCTGGAAGGGCCAAATATTTCTCCATAAAATAGTTTGATGTCTGCTCTAATGCCCAATAAAATGAGTCAATGAGGCACAAAGTTTGATCTCAGATCTTGATAACTGTCTTTCTCTACCCATGATGGCATACGAAGGGAAAAAATAATAAAAAATCCATTAAGAAATTATTTTTAGTGGGTAGCTTCCTGGAAAATATAAGACATTTAAATGTCCAAGACCCCATGGCAAATGGTTTTATTTTTAACCTTATCTTGAACCATCCAACCTTTCACAAGTTAAATAATTTTCTAAAAGTGTTCCACCGGAGTCACTACTATAAAGTGACACAGTTCTATTTCAAAAATGCTGCATGGAGGATGCATTCATCTATCTCATGCAGAAAAATCTTCAAATCACTTAGGTACAAATCAAAAAATAAATAAATAGATGCTAAATGCATGTCTCTCCTTAAAACTATTATTTTTTTTAATGTTTTGTTTATTTCTGAGAGAGAGCGAGCGAGCGAGCATGAGCAGGGGAGTGTCAGAGAGAGAGAGAGAGACACAGAATCTGAAACAGGCTCCAGGTTCTGGGGGAGAGAGAGAGAGAGAGAGAGAGAGCGCATGAGCAGGGGAGTGTCAGAGAGAGAGGGAGACACAGAATCTGAAACAAGCTCCAGGTTCTGAGCTGTCAGCACAGAGCCCAACGTGGGGCTTGAACCAACGAACAGTGAGATCATGACCTGAGCCGAAGTTGGATGCTTAACAGACTGAGCCACACAGGCGCCCCTTAAAACCATTTAGTCGTTTAGGCATCCGTGCCTGTTTCTTTCCAGATGCCTTATCTTAACCTCTCATTTAGAAACTCTAAGTCTCAAAAATTAAAATTCACATTTATCTTTGTTCTTTCTTTGTTTTCACTATACACGCATCTTAGTACCAACTCCTTCTCTCCTTCCTTACTCTCCATCTAGAACCTGACTTACCTCCTGTCTGAGTGATGACTTGTATGTCACTTGAAAGGGGACCGTCTCCAATTGAGGTAAAAGCCAGAACTTTGACAGAGTATGTTTTCTGGGGCACTAAGTTGCCAATAGTAGTGATTTGGCTGTCAGCTACATTATGCTTCATCCAGTTGTTGACATGCTGCGTGGGATCCATTGTATAATAAACTCTGTATCCTTGGATCTGTCCGTTTGGCTCCTCAGGTTCCTTCCACTGTACCAAAATGGTGGTTGAACTCAACATCCGCGCCTGGACATCCCGTGGGGCACTAGACGGTGCTTGTTCTGAGGTCTGTGTAAGCACAGGCTCACTGGGGGGTCCCCGCCCAATGTTATTAACAGCAACAACCCTGAATTCATAATCCGAGTAGGGACTTAGTCCAGCGACACTGTAGCGTGTAGTTGCCACCCCATCAATTTCTTTGTATGGTTCCTCAGAATTTTTAGGTTTATGCTGAATGATGTAGTAAGAGACAGGCTCAGGGTTCCCAGAGTCCCACGTCAATGTGATGCTTGTAGCTGTGCTCTCAGTCACTACGGGAGTTCCTGGAGGCTTGGGTAAGGCTTAGGGGGAGAAAAAGGGACAGTGAGTATCCATCATATTTAAGGTGTTAAAAGGATCCATTAACTTTGCTACTGGAATGACAGAATTAGAATCTACTGAAGATTAAATTAAATTATAACAAAAGATAGCTTTCTAAGTGGGTAGGACAGATGCATAGGGGACAATCCCATTTTACTAGAAGCACATTAGTGCACTGTATTTGGGGGCTTGTATCCACATCCACCACTTATTAGCTATGTGATCTCGGATGCACTGCATAACCTCTTCTTTGCTTTAGTTTTCTCATGTGAAGAATAGGAAAAACTGTATCATTGAACTGGTATGGTACAGTTGGGTAACTGTATTTCATGGATTTGCTGTGAAGATTAATGAACTATTCCAGCAATGCTCTTAAAATGTATTCAGCACCCTTAAAATTAATTAGTTGCAATTATTACTATTATTATAACCATGAGCGTGGCCAGTTAACCTCTTCCTTCAAGAAATAAATGATATAACTAAATGCCAACATTTGAAAGCACACAATTTGGAATATATTGAAATGGCATTAAGTTGCTATGGAAGAATAATACCCATGTTATTTTCCAGTTGTTAGGCATAGATTATTTTTTAAATAATAGTAATATAACCTAACCAAGAATTTTAAGAAAGAATAGTAAATTTAAAATGATTAATTTCAATTTCATGTTTTTTAGTTAATATTAAAATATGCTGAACTAAATTACAGTACATTCACAAATAACTTTTTAAAGCATTTCTTGTCATAATATGTATTCTATACTCAATTGAGTATATTCTATACTCAATATATCAATAATGTCTGAAATTATAGCTACCTGACAAATATTTGCAAATAAAAGCATCTTTTTAGAGCTCCAATTCTTTCCATTTAGAGGAAGAACCCCACTTAAAATGCTACTGATTAAGAATACAAACCATCCACACTGGTGACCTCATACTTAAAGTATATCACCCTGGAGAATGATTTTGAAAGGTATTGTTAGTAGGGGAGAAAGGATAATTCCATCAGCTAACATTTTCGAGAAAGCCCAGACTATAATACTCAAAAGACTAGCCCTTTAGTATCCTTTTTCCTTGTCAACATAACAGCAAAAAGTACAATACTCTTGAGAATGGAGCTTTTTAAGAGTAGTCAACTTGTACTTGAATACTACTGTATCCCCAATACATAGGCCTAGCAGTGATAACCAAATGAATGCCTAATTGAATGAATGAGTCCGTATACATTGTTCTCACTCTCTTCCAGTTGTATTGATTTAGTTTTTGCCTTCATGATTCACCCCTATATTTATTTACTTCTGAGGTGTGGAGGGTAAGGAATGGCAAAAGTCAGGAAAACAAAGATAAGAAGTTGAACAAGATTTTCATTTATGTGACTCCTGATTTTGAATTCTTGAAGGTCTTCAGTAAACCTTCAAATATTTAAAGCTGAAATAGTTATTATAGGAGAGGTGATTCAATATTTGCATTTTACTCTAAGAACTATAGAATGATAATATTTGGCCAAGGGATTTTGCTGAAAATAATAATAAAAAGATATTTGTTTAAATATTCTGGGTTTGCATTTTTCAAAAGAGTAGATGATCCAAATTTTCCCTAGATGTCTTTCTGAATTACTCAGGTAAGTAAAATATTGCCAATTAAAACTGTGTTTACTGATACTTAACAGACATTAGTTTTGCTGTCACATTTACTGTACAGTATAGGTTTTGTGTCTATAATCTATGGAGAAGTGTGAGCATGTTTAGTACAGTTAAGGCTATGCAATACAATGTCACTATTTTTTTTTTAATATTTTTATTTATTTCTAGGAGAGAGAGAGAGAGTGAGCAGGGGAGGGTCAGAGAGAGAGGGAGACACAGACTCTGAAACAGGCTCCAGGCTCTGAGCTGGCAGTCAGCACAGAGCCCGACGCGGGGCTTGAACCCACGAACCGCGAGACCATGACCTAAGCGAAAGTCAGACACCCAACCGACTAAGCCACCCAGGCGCCCCACAATGTCACTATTTTTAAATGACTAAATTTTGACACTGATGTGTATCTTTCTTCTCATGTCATTATTGCTTTTATATGGCATACATTTGATATATATTCTTGGTGGGGGTAAGACACCAATTATAACATACATGTTCCTTTTTTTAAGATCATACTTTCTGGAAAGCAAAGATAATTTGTGTTCATTTTTTGCAATAGCTCCAGACATCTGCAGTACCTCAGTTTGCCCTTTTTTGCAAAAGCGTTCTAGAATTCTATAAACACTGATAAAATCAATTGGTACCTCATACACTTACTTTTGTTTTCTTTGTTTCAAAAGTATTTGTGGAATATAGTACTTTAGTTATATTTAGTGCACTCATTTAAGGAACATAACATTTCTTGAGCAATTCATATACAGAACATGAGATAAATTTAAAATAGAATAAAATTCCTCTTATGTTTTGATTTTTTATGATAGGAACCATCAAAAATTTAAAATACGTTATTATTAGACCATGTTGATTTAACTCTTTCTTTTTCTTTTGTCTGCATGTATTTGAGCATTTATTAATACTTCTTTGGCCTTTTCTATTATGTCACTCTTGCCAGGATTCTGGATTAATATGAAACTTGTATGTATCAGTTCAAAATGGTTGACTGCATTTAACATTCCTCATTCTGCCAGGTTAGTGTATGGGCTCAGCCTATTGTTAAATATTTTGATGATTATCACTACTTACGCTGTCAACCTTTTAATGGAGAATCTGCTTACGTAGCTAAATATGTGTATCCTATATGCTACCATAGATACAACTAGAATTTGGCATTTGAAATACTGAATAATGAATTGATTCATTTTAGTATCGTAGGGATAGACTTTGTAAAGAAATTAGTCAGGTGAGTTGACTATACCCAGATTCTCAAAGCAAGAACCACTGAGCATACCTTTGACAGTGATCTGTGCTATTGCTTCAATGACACCCAATGTTGACATGGCAACACAGGTGTAATTTGCTGACTGTCTTACATCATTCAATTCCAGTACATTTCTTCCTATTGGCATATCATCTTCAGGTGTCAGGTCTTCTGCCCCCAACATCCACTTCACATAAGGCATTGGTGACCCCACGGCCACACAGGTGATATTAACACTTCCACCTGGCATGATTTCATGATTAGTAGGTGGGATAGAGAATCTTGGTGGGACACGGCGAACTGGAACAAAACACAGGGAAGATGATAAAACATACAAGGCAAGGTAAAGTGGCTTGTTAAACATATGGCATGCACTGTACAAACACAATTAAACAATTGAAACATATTGTGGATTTTCCAAAAACAAAAGAAAGAAAAAGTGTGGATAATACAAACCATACAAGTATGGTATGTGTATACACAGATAAAAAAATTAGTGTAGTCATTGATATCTTAGACACATTCATACAAAAGTTGATTCAGACCTACGAAGGGCCCCACAAAAAAAAAAAAAAAAAACTATCTACAAACTAACAATACACAAACATCATGCATAATATAAACACAAAACCATATACATGCATGCATACAGCAAAGATTCTATGCATGCATGTATATGCAGAAAAGGGGCAGGAAGGTCACCAGCAGGTTTAAGTTGAGTATCAAAACCAACTTCAGTGCTGTGCACTTCCAGTTGATGTGAATGTATGTGTGGGACCACACTGTCACATCCCAGCCCTGGAAAACATTGTCTAGAGTACACGGAAAGTGCAGCTTATTTGCTTTCAGACTCAGAGTAGATGCAGCCTCAAGACCTCACACTAACACTGGAATGGACACAGAAAAATATACATATATTAATTTACACTCATGGAAGAAACAAAGTCAATGCCAGTAGAGATACTGGATTGGATCATGCAAAGCATGCACAAAATGAAGTCTCAAGGCCCGTGCTTAGGACAATGGGAGAATGGCTAAAATCCAAGACAACAATGACAACAGAAGAAGTAACAGGGTAAAGACACTAAACATAAAGGGAGGAACTAGAGTACAGTGATGGAAACAGATTTAAGGGATCATAGGTTTCAAAGTAGGAAGATTAAGCTAGGTTGTCAAAGGTGAGTACTGCAAATTAAGGAAGGGAGCTGGGTATTTCACATTCAAGATTTCATTCAGGACATATCTAAGGTAAAACAACACAGATGATGGTGACAAAATCTGGTAAAAGGCTTTTTATGCCTACATTCAAATTGAAGGACATTGGGTCTAAAACATACGATGAAACATGACATTAAGAGAAGAGGTCGTATTAAAACAACACAACACAGAAAAAATTACCAAGCAATTACAGTTCAGTGTTCCTGCTTCAGATAATCTGCATGTTTATGTGTGCTTAAGTACATATGTCTTGGACATGGTACAAAGAGAGAGTAAGGGACATATAGGCTTCATCTTAGGCTCTTATTGGCAAAACATTCCACCAAGAGTATTTTAGATCCAGAGGTAATCATTAGGAGCATACCTTAAACATGAATAATAGAGTGATTTATAAAATTATACGTAAGTTCATAAACAAAAAAACCTCATAACCCAAGAAGATGATAAGTAAATAAGTCTGTCTGTAAACTTTTTGGCTACAGTTAAGATTGAGATAAACCTCCGTTGATTCGAGAGGGCTCACTGTGATGGCCACATGGGTGAATGATAGGCAGAGAAGAGAGAGCTAAGCATGCCTCCTGCAGCCACTTCACAGGTTACACAAAGCAAGCAGGAGCCAGTATACACTCTAATGTGTCAAAGAACATATCAAGAAGAATAGAGGAGAGTTTAGTCTTCATGCTCGGGATTAGGAGAACAACTACAAAAAGTCATTCTATGGGTAGCAGGCATCCTTGTAAGACAAAAATTAAAGGTGGGGTGGGAGACGGGAAGAGTGGAGCAGGAAGGAAAGCAGGAACACTGACCCAAGTTCATGGGACCTGAGAGAGTTAAGTGTTACCAGTTACCATGCACCCAGGTACATTCTTTCCCATCATGCACCACAGTGAGATACCACCAGCAAGCACTGGAAGCCATGGCCAGGGCATTCTCTGCTAAAACATACCATTAACCAAAAGAAGACCACAATGCAGCTACATTCATTTCATTTGTATTCTTTGTTATTGGTTTAATTAAGAGTTTTGTAAGGTGGGTAAAAAGTAAAAAACACACCAACCTTCTCGCAGCTCTGAGGGATGTAGGGGGTTTGATGCAGAACACAATGAAATGAGGAAAGGAGAAAAACAAGGGAAACACAGAGAGAGTAAAAAGGCCATATCAAGGCTTTCAACTGCTACTTGAACATCTTTATTTGCTCTAGTTATTTGCTTTTCCTACCTCAGCTGAAAATGTTAGCAACATCTCATGGACTAATATGGTATTAGAAACAATAGCTAGCATCATTTTGAAATTTTCCCATTGAAGAAGGTACACATGCCTCATGCAGCAAAGGAGGTCACCATTGTAAGAAAAGGATCAAGGGACTTTCAAAGAATTTGGAGAAGAAACGGTTTTCTTCATATTCTCCCACCCCAGACTCCAGAGGAAGATAGGAGAGCAAAACATCCCCACAGAAACAAAATTATCTCAAACAAAAATTTCAAAATCAAGCTAGATATTTTCCTAAGGAAATCCATCCTATTGTAACTTAAAGCCCTCACAGTCTTTAATCGATTCCCACCCCCTCCCACATCTTTTGTGCTTATTCACAGACACGTAGACCAGGAAGAGCATTTCCATTGGACAAGAAGCTATAGGAACCAGCTTTTAAAAACTCTGGGGAAGAAGAGATACTTCTTTTTAGTTGGCATGAAAGGTACAAGCTCAAAATGTAATCATTTGTATTACTTTATGAGAAAACATGAATGTATCCTCATAACTCATTCTTGTCCCAAGGACAATTAACAGTATTTTTAAAAATACAATCAGGGTTTGATGGTATTTGAAATATTAAACTTTCTGGAATGTTAATAACTTTTAAAAATGAGTGTAAATATATGCAGAGACATATGGACACACATAATACCATGTGTTTATAAATAAAAAAGCAGAGAAAGAAAAAATACAATTGTGCTATTTGCAGGTAGCACCTTTGTTTTGTTTTTTTGTTTGTTTTGTTTTAGTAGCTTTATCCTTATGGGCTCCACAGCAGAAGTCTTGAAGACATAAACACCTTTATGCTTGGAGTGGCCTAGAAAACTGATTAGTAGCACACCAAGCAATTATTTCAGGGTTTGATAAAGGAAACAGAAGAGAAACAGCAACAGAAAAAAGAAGGAAAAGAGGAAAACTTCAAACAAATGCCAAGCACAGTTCAATCAATGCAGTAAAAATGCAAATATACTTACAAACTTCAAGCCTCAGGATAGACTGTACTCAAAAGTTGTCAATTTTTTTTTTTTAACAAGAAGGTCAAGATTTTTAATTCTTTATTCACTAAAATGCTTCAGCTACTACAACTACTAGTGTATCACCTTGGTATCTACTGACATAACAGCACAGATCTTATGTGTCTCTCAACTCCCCCTGAGCCTTAGTGAAGAAGCGATGCCAGGTTATGTCATTCCTACCTCTGACATATAAATTGGCAGGGGCAGAATAGCGAGTGCCCGCGCTGTTGGTGGCAACACACTCATATTTCCCTTGGTCAGATTCTTCACTCTGTTCAATCTGAAGGGCTCCTGTATGGATATAAAATATAGTGCCAAAGATATGGTCAGAGAAGGTTTTCTCAGTGCAGATAGCTAAACCTCTTAACAATATGAAAAGCCCTGCAAAGCGAAGGTCCGCTCAACGTCGATTCAATCTCTCGCTAAGGTGCACAGACAGAAAATGATGCGATGAGAAAAACATATAGAGATTATTTCTTTTTTACATCATCAATTCTAGCATAAGAAAACAATTATCTCTTTTCCCAAGCAAGACTTCTAGTCATAATTAATACTCTCATTTCCTAGACTAATAAAATGAAGATGGGTGAGGCTGCTTCAAGGAAGTATGGCTTTTAAATCAAACAAAAGATTAATTTTTGGTGTGGTTTTGTTTTGTTCCATTTGGGTACCAAAAGTGGCGCAAAAGATAGGTATGCTCAAAAAAAACCAGGCCGGGTTTTCAAGAAAGTCTTCTGCTGAAGAAAGGCAAAAATACGCAGCGAGTACAAAAAGGCTGCACAAAGCAAAAAATTAAAATTAGTCATTATATATCATGAAAATATTACTTAAAGAAACAAAACTCCCTTAAGACATGCAGATTTTTAAGAAAATAAAGACAGTTTGTCACAACTTACAATCATTTATTACATTTGCTGAAAAACAAAGAGCAGTTGAATTAGAAGGTTTTAAAAAAGTTAAAAAGCACGGCCTATGCCAGCAAGGAAGAACCAACCAGCCACTGCTTGAGGACCTCAAGACGGATCCCCTCAGACACCCATCAAAATCCACCAGTGGGATTAGCAGTGTGGTGTCACAAAACCCCAAGAAAAATCCAAAACAAGAATTCTAAAAGAAACGAACACGGAGTCAAAGTATGACAAACCAGCAATATCACATACCACCAAGAATACTGAGCACCGTTTGTTTCCATAGCCTGAAGGACAGAAGATCCAAAAATCCAGAGGCGAGTAATCCAAGAAAAAAAGAAGTGGGGGGAAAAAAGCATTGCTGTCAGATTGTAGGCGAGTGGGATCAGGTGGAAAGGGGAGTCATTCTTTGACTTTTAAGACAGTAAGAGAAAAAAGAATTGAAGAACAAAAGCAAAAACCTTTTGAAAGATAAAGACAAAAAGCAGATGTTCCAGGCTGTCTTCTGCATGTCTGCCACTGTTCTCCAGACCATCTTGGCTTTGGTCCAGAACAAGAACAGCTAAGGAAGAAAAAAATGATCTTTTTTTTTCTCCAGTTGGACAAAAAAAAAGGAAAAAGAAGAAAAAAAAAAAGAAAAAAAGGAAAAAGGAAGAAGAAGAAAAGGAAAAAAAGAGGGACAGATGGTACGCTGTGACTGGTCTGTGGTCTAACGACCTGGATATGCTTTCTTTGAAGCATATCACAACTTAAATAATCATCTCCATAAAGAAAGAAACGAACAAAACAAAGAGAAAAGAAAAAGAAAAGGAAAACTCACAATATGAGAGTCACTAATCATAAACAAACAGTACAAAGGAGAAAAATAAAGTTGATGGACATATTATTGGAATGAATTTGAAAACAGGACAAAGATGAGAGTGATGACAGGACAGAAAGAATGAGCAAGATCATTCTGTGAACGTTAGTTCAGCACTCTTACCTCTTATTGGTGTACCACCTGGGTGGATAATATGAATGCAAATAAGATTAGAAAGAAGAAGCATTAGTACGAGAAGGAGGAGGCTAGGGCTGGGGAGAAGAATTAAATTAGATTTACAGAATTAAATAAGGTCTTAAAAGAAACTTGAATTACTATACTGGTAAAACAGGAATATATTAGATAGTATTATTAGATTATAAAAGCAAGTTGCATTATACCACAGAGGGCAAAGTCCACAATAGGCAGCATTGCTTTTCTCAGAGAAACAACTGAGTTCTTAGGTCTGGGGTCATATAGAGTTAGAATTATATCTTATATGCCTCATATTCTTAAAAAAAAAGACAAAAAAACTAAACAATACTTTTTAAAGACATAGTTTAGGAAAAATCCTGTCTAATCTATTTAAGTATATATATAGGTATGCATATATATATACTCTTATAGGAAATACTAAGGACTAACTGGAAACAAACACTGTTGATTGAATATTTTATTCTACTCACTATGCTACATTTGTGTAATATAACTTGTGTACTATTTTATTTTTCTACAGTGTTTTTACAATAACGGTTCTGTGGATGTGTGCGTGTGCGCGCCACTACCGAGATCTGGTGTCTACACTGACAGTTAGTAAAATGCATGCCATGCATTTTATTAATAAAATCATAATAGTAATAATAATAATAATATTCTGGATATGGAAATTAGTGGGGGTGAAGTGCGCTTCAGAACTAAGCACTTACCAATAGATTCTGGAGATTTAAATACGGAGAGAAGAAAGACAGCATAAAAATATTATTATATTCCTTATAATTTGGTACAAATTTTTCAGAATTAAAGCTTTATATACTAAATCATCTATGTTACATGTGAATAATTAATTCTTTATTTACAATAACAGAATGCTAATCTACACAATTCTGCTGACAACAAGCAAAAGAGGCAGTTAACAAGACGCTTTAACATCACAGGACAGGTCAAAAGCTGAGAATTCTGGGAAGACAGGCAGTTAAACAACTTAGAATTCTATATCAATATAACTCCCAACGTCAAAGTAAACAGCTTATTACTACATGTCCCAGTGAAATTGCCTAGGGACAGGCTCTAAAACTTAAGAAATTTAGAATTATCTCTATTTTTAATCTAAAGAGAGCAAAGGGATGAACTTGGGGTAGGGGTGGGAGAGGGAGAAAAGGGAAGCCAGGGGAAAGAGAGAAGGAAGCAGCAAAAGTTGGAGTCTACACCAAAAGCAGACTTCTGTAGATCCAGTCACTGGAGGGTTCAAGACTCTTTAGTGTGGGCGCACACTACTGTGGCTTATGTGTAGAAAATGCTCACTCAAAAGAATACAATAATAGTATTAATAAAAATCCCCTCCTTGCATTGGTACTTAGTAAAAGATTTTTGAAAAAATCCATCTGGTTACTTATGAGATAACATTTCTGTCATTTATGTATTAGTGAAAAGAAAGCAGATGTGACCAAACTTAACTAAACTTTGGTACCTTGATGAGTTCAAATGCAGAAAAGACAGAGAAAACACACTTTAATAAAATTGAATCATTTTAGTGTTTAATATGAGTATTTTGGTTTTTAATGGATACAACCATTGGAGCTCCTTGCAAGTTCAGAATGAAGTCCAATGTTGAAATAAATTTGTTTCAAAAGAAAACAGAGAGAGAAGAAAGAAAGAGGAGAAAATGGATCCATCAAGTACTGCAGAAAAGCAGTAAATTAAAAAAATCATCAAAAATACAGTCACAGCAGTGAGCAATGTGGATTAAACAGAAGCTGCAAAACACACAGAGAGAAAGACAGACTCTGAAACAGGCTATGACATCACAAACATGGACAACACATTAAATAACAGAGAAAGAGAAGAGGGAGAAAAATCAATACCTAAAAATTAAAATTAAATTAAATAAAAATAAAAATAAAGAGAGAGAAAGCTAAAAAAAATTCTCTAAGAGTTAGTTGAAACAGTAACAAGACCCTACCTGATCGTAACTGCTTAATACGGCCATTGTTGTTGCTTGTGTCGACGGGTAAGAAATCTTTAAACCAAGTTATTTCTGGATCCGGATTCCCACTGGCTGCACAAAGCATGGTGGCGGTGCGTGTACGCTCAACCACCTTCAACTGTGGGCCCATGTCAATAGTAGGGAAGCCCCTGGGAATTTGATCCTCTGCAAGACAAAAGGTGATGCAAACATTATGTCAACAAGTCAGATGCCCAAGATTCAAGAGCTAGTGTCCATTAATCTTTCCCCTTACCTTATTTGGCATTTGTTGAGAAGCTAATACAAACCAGGCAGCATTGCACTATTAGATTAGGATACAGTCACGATATTGTTCCTGGCCAGGAGAATGCACAGTCTATGTGAGACCAATAGCTTAACAAAGAGCTCAGACACATGTGATAAAGAACATAATGAAAAAAACACATCTAGTTCTCTGGGATCGTAGAGGGAGCAGAAATTATAGAATGTGTGCCAGAGGAGGTCAGTGACTACCAAAAGAAACTCTGAAATGGGCCTTTAAGAACAAGTGGAATTGGCCAGAAAGATGAAGACATCACAAGTAAAAGTGCTTAGACAGGGAACTTCCTGTTGAGGGAAAACAGTGGGATCCAGTAGAGCTGTCTTGGAGAGTATCCAGGGAATAAGCAGGTTAACTGGATTAAGTTACCTGATCTCTAATCTGCTGTTTTTCTTGTAATTTTTAAGTAAAATTCTGTATTTTTCATAAGGGTCAGCTTCAACTTGATGAAATTTTTTAAAGGAATTTCTTTGTAGGGAGTTTCAATTAATCTGAAAATTATCTGAAAGTCTCCCTTACCAAAGAACAAAAGAAACTAAAAAAAAAAAAAAGCAACACAAAAGTGTATAAAGTGTATATTCCTCAGAGTAAGAGAATATTTTCCTCCATTCCAAAGACCTATACCATTTTCAATCAGTAAGAGTTGAAATTTATAAATTTTGAATCCTCAACTCATCCAAAGTTTACTTCTCCCTATCCTATATCAATATTGTCCCAGATCTTAGATCTTGAGAAATTACAGTCCTCTTAAATACCCCAAGCATGATGATCCACATTAATAACTGACATTACCAGCTCTTCCAGCTAGCATTAGAAAGGTATATTCTATACTGAAGAAATTTTGAATTTGAAGGAATTTCATTTATACGTGATTAGAACTTGGGAGTTTGCTTGAAAACCATTATAAAACAGTTTTAATTCTCATTGGGTCTGGAATTAATTTAATCAACTGTCCCTCATGACCTCTGGTTAATTTTCATAAGCCATCAATTCCAAAATTACTCAAAAGCACAAAATCTAGTAAGAAAAAATTAGAAATCATCGAATAAGGCATCTCACTTCTCCTTGCATGTTGCCTGCAATTTCCTCTATGATGCTATGAGTCTTTCTGAAATCTGCGTTACAATTTCTAGGGAAAAGACTCCATTTTGATGCTTCTGCTGTGTTGTCAGTCAAGTCTATGTGCTCTCTACTGCCTCCCCTCTATCATTGCAGAAAAAACTCAATCTCCTCAATCTAGCTAGCAAAATCCTTTTAAATCAGGCCCCATTTTTCTTAACTTCTCATGGATGATATCCATAGCAAAGTTTCTTCTGCTCACACTGTAACTCTTACCATTCTCCAGACAAATCATGTCCAATAAATACTCTGGGTCTCTGGAAAGTCATGAAGCCAAAATCACCTTCTTTAGAATAAAAACTCTCTCAAATATATTTAATATTCACTTCCTCAGAACTACTGTAGCAGTAGGTACCTAAATTCCATTTTCTTGTATTATTATGAGTTTATCTCCCTACACTGTGAGTTCCTCCATGTGTCATTTATATCCAAATCCCTTGCCACCAAACTAGTCTGTATTGCCAGACTTTTAAGAAAATCTCCAATGATTCTGAAGCTTAAATAAGAATATAACCTAGTGGAAAGAAAGAAAAGAGAAAGAAAGAAAGAAAGAAAGAAAGAAAGAAAGAAAGAAAGAAAGAAAGAGAGGGAGGGAGGGAGGGAGGAAGGAAGGGAGGAAGGAAGGGAGGAAGGGAGGAAGGGAGGGAGGGAAGGGAAGAAGGAAGGAAGGAAAGAAAGAAAGAAAGAGAGAGAGAGAGAGAAAGAAAGAAGAAAGGAAGGAAGGAAGGAAAGAAAGAAGAGGAAAGAAAAAAAGTTTTCTACTATATATAGTAGAAAACTACTTCTGGTCAACAGTTGATCAGAGAAATAGTTCAGGACTACAGAGAGATTTTAACAAATGTCAGACTATTACTAAAGAATAAAGTTCCCAATGAAGGGAAGGTTTCTCTCAACAAGTCCAGATTGTTGTAAGAGAAACAGGGGGACTAATAGAACAGGGGAGATGTGGACTCTGGCTCTTCTGCAGGGAGATTTATGAAAGACCACACGTTGCTAAGAACGTTGGACTTGACATCTAAATTCACTAGAGAATATTTTCCTGTCCCAGCAGCTAGTTACAGATGGAGAAGAAAAAATTACAAAAATAATTCACTACCATGATCTACATTTTACTTAGGTTGAAAGATATGATTCTTTTGAGGGAGCAGGAATACAGCCTGTTTATGTGAATGCTCACACATCATTAGCCAAGCAGAAGGCTTTGGAGGAGGACAAAAGTCAGAAATAATAGTTAAGAATGAAATTTCAAGATGATTTTTCAGAGCTCCAAGGGAAAATTACAAATTCTAAATAGAATGGGGCATTTAGCAAATTACACTAATTTTGATAATCTACTCCACATGAATTTCATCAGGCTGTTCTTTGTGACTTTAAAGGTTTTGTCAATATGATACATTTCCATCTATAGAATTGTTCTAATGTTACTTGAAAAAAAAAAGCAAAAAGATCAATAACCATTGTATTACACACATCATATTAAACATCTCACTTGGCAGCTATTGACCCAAAATGCTTCAAAGCATTTTACCTCGAGTGCTCCCAAGTCAACTACACTGGCTTAGTTACCTAGAAATGAGTTTCTTAAAAACCTCTTAGATTTTGTTGTTCTTTTCCATATTTAAAACTCCCAACTTTGGGGCGCCTGGGTGGCTTAGTCGGTTAAGCGTCCGACTTTGGCTTAGGACATGATCTCGCGGTTCGTGGGTTCGAGCTCTGCGTCGGGCTCTGTGCTGACTGCCAGCTCAGAGCCTGGAGCCTGTTTCAGTCTGTGACTCCCTCTCTCTCTGACCCTCCTCTGCTCACGCTGTCTCTCTCTCTCTCTCTCTCTCTCTCCTAGAAATAAATAAAACATTAAAAAAAATAAAAAAAATATGAAACTCCCAACTTAGGTTAATAAAAACTTACCTTGAGATCCCTGAGCTATCTCTATATTTCTCAGGGCATTGTATCTATCCCCAGGCACTTAAATACTAGTTACATTAGTATGCATTAACATTGACCCACTAGTCATTTACTTTTCTTCTACAAGTTCATCTCTCTGAAAAACCATGCTAATATTTAGTACCAAGTGGCAAGTGTCAAACACTTAAGATTGTTGAGCCACTTACTAAAGACTCTTACTAAAGAAATCTAGAATTAATAACCATTTATAAGAAATCAAATCCTCACCTTAGGGAGAACTGACAAAATTGACTTGTGCCCTACCAAAAGCAGTCTAATACATTTGCATGACCTTTCTTTTCTTTCTTGGCTCATAAAGAACACTCCAGAGCCCCCTTTTCATATACACAAGTGCAAAACAAAGATAATCTTTCTTGCATACTAATCGGACAGTGGATGTAAAGAGTGCTCCTTTCTTATTTTTAATAAGGGTAATTAAATTCTATCCATCCCCCCCCCTTTGCCAGGAATCTCTTTGAATGCACTTTCTTCATTAATTTTTCATGAGAAACATCACAATGTAACAGATTCAAATAGCCAGAACTTTTACATGTTGATAGTTGTGGCTTGTTTCCAATTTGACTGTCAGGTATTTGGCAATAAAACTCAGTATTCAACATAAAACAAACTGTAGAAATAATGAAATTTCTAATTGGAATGCTTATCTCAGTGGGTGTAGTTTAGAAGACATTAATTGCTTTTTTTTCACCTTCTACATTTATTAGTAATTTATATAAAACTGCCTTGGCCATTTGATAACATCAACTTTGACAGCTCATCAAATGTGTGGTACCAGGAACTTGGGGGAAAAATCAATATCTTTTATATCTTAAACAAATAAACTTTTATAGAAAAAAGCAGCTATCAAAAATTAACAAATTGTCAATATGTTAGGAGCTTTAAACTTCTACATGAGGTGAAAAGAAAAACATTTTGTCCTATTCATTAATGTGCTCATTAAGCTTTAAAGTGCCTTACTTATCACTGTTCCATATTAATATTCAATCATGCAGAATTAGCTACTAATTCATCAACAATTTAAATCAGACTTGACCTTCACAAAGCCATTTGGTCTGTCATTTTGAGAGGCCATTAAAGGGCAGATTACTACATACTTGTGCTTAGTGAATCATAGAACTCATACATATTTTGTTTGCAATGGCAGCTATAATAGACCTGGAAATATAGCACATTCTTTGAATCTGTTTGATATCCTAATGAAATATGCTGATATGAAACTTACAGTTCCATTAAGGGAAGGGAAACATGAACATCAGCATTGTTCAGAGTTAACTTCCCATTTCTCCAGAACTTGTGTTAATAACCCCTGACCTACCCAAGTCTTGAAAGGAATGTATAGGGAAATAGTCTGACATGACATAGTCATGTCATAGATATCTGTGATTGATCAAATACAAGTTTTTGCATAATTTGCTCAGTTAAACTACTTTCATTGTTCATCCATAAATAATTTTAATGATATTTTAAGTTGTACTCCAATTCTGCAAACACTGAACCTCTCTTATTTGATGGGAAACCACAAAACCAAATTGCCTGCTAAAGCCATAGCCTCTTTCTAAGGTAGCCCAAGCAGTTATCCTTGCCTATTTTTGCTGGGACTTTGAATGAATTCAAACACAGAGGCGTTTTGACTCTGGTCCCAATTGATTAAAGAGATTTTCACTGAAAAACTATTTGTGTGGTGCTACATTTCCAACTTATTACATCAATCACATCAACAGTATGCTTTTACAAAAGCAGTATTAAAAGATTTGGCAAGTATAACACCCTCAAGGTCCATCCATGT